GAAAGTTAAGTTTTCACTACAAATTGGACGTCGGGGTGAATGCCGTGTATTGGCTGAAACCTTGGACGGATTTAAATGTCTTCTCAAGTATCTTACTGAGAAGAAGCACAAATTTTTTACTTACGACACCAAAACTGAACGTGTGTTCAAGGTTGTCATGAAAGGACTGCCCAGTGGTGAATCCCTGGATCAGATCAAAGATGAGCTGGCAAAATTACTTGGAGTTGTGCCACTCCAAGTAATCAAAATGAAAATGAAATCCCGTCCTGGCGATTCGCGCAACGGGATTTCTAATGATTTTTATTTAGTTCACTTCAAGTCTAGTGAACTAAACAACCTTAAGGCCTTAGAAAAAGCTAACCTTATACTCCATGTCCGAGTGAAGTGGGAACACTTCAGGAAGACTGGAGGAAATTTTCAAAACCTCACTCAGTGCCGTAAGTGCCAGGGATGGGGTCACGGAACTAAAAATTGCTACATGCCAGCTAAATGCATGAATTGTGGTGATTCCTCTCACGCAAAGGACGACTGTCCTGTGAAGGAAGATCCTAAGAAATTTAAATGTTCAAATTGTGGTGAAAACCACAAATCCAATTTTTGGGAATGTAAGACTCGCAAAGCGATCCTACAATCTCGTTCTAACCGCCAGGTAGGAAACGCTCCACGTTTCCGACCAGGTACAAATTCCTCTGCTGTTAACAACGGTCAGCGAGGAACAAATTCTACATTCGTACCCGTAGGTACAAATATCACCCCTGCTTCAAATGTTTCATCTGTACCTACTCCTCTCGCTGCTAACAATGTTCAGCGAGTTAATGGAGTTACCTATGCTGCTATTGCAGCGGGTAGAAATCAAAATACTAACCAACGTTCTAACGGAAATTTTGACAATTTTGACTTAGGAAGCATTACTGCTCCTAAAATGGAATTTTTACAGAATTCATTAATTGACATGATTTCTGATATGCTTAAATCTAACTCCATGTTTGATGCTATTCAAACTGGAGTAAAATTTGCTAATAATATTGTCATGACTTTAAAATTCAGTAATGGATTTTAAAGCATTAAACATTTTAAATTGGAATGCTCGATCTCTTAAAGATAATGAAGACGAGCTATTTAACTTTTTGAGAGTTCATAACGTGCATATTGCCGTTATAACTGAAACGTTCCTTAAACCTGACCATAAGGTTAAGAAGGACGCAAATTACTTGATTTATAGAAATGATCGTCTTGATGGACCCTGTGGTGGCGTTGCCATCATTATTCATAGACGAATCAAGCATAAAATTCTTTCTTCATTTGAAACCAAAGTTTTTGAAACTTTGGGAGTTTCTGTTGAAACAAAATTTGGACAACTTACGTTTATAGCTGCCTATTTGCCATTCCAATGCGTAGGCCAGCAAAAGAATTTTCTCAAGGGTGACCTCCAGAAACTTACCCGTCATAGGTCTAAATTCTTCATTATTGGTGATTTTAATGCAAAACACCGCTCATGGAATAATGCTCAAAGCAATTCCAATGGTAATATTCTGTTTGATGATTGTTCTGCAGGTTATTACACTATTCAATATCCAAACAGCCCAACATGCTTTTCTTCTGCAAGAAATCCCTCAACTATTGATTTGGTCTTAACTGATTCATGTCATCTTTGTAGCCAATTGGTTACCCATGCTGACTTCGGTTCTGATCACCTTCCAGTAACTTTTGAAATATCCCAAGAAATAATTTCTAATCCCAACAGCTTTACTTTCAATTACCATAGGGCTGATTGGGAGCAATATCGAACATTTATGGAATATAACTTCGATCCAAACATTCCTTTGCAAACCAAAGATGAAATTAATTATGCTCTTGAATCTCTGACTACCTCTATAGTTGAAGCAAGAGCTGCCTCAGTACCAAAATGCGAGGTTAAATTCGATTCAATTATAATAGACGATGATCTTCAGCTCTTGATCCGTCTTAAAAATGTCCGTAGGAGACAATTTCAAAGAACACGCGATCCTGCCATGAAAGTTATCTGGCGGGATTTGCAAAAACAAATTAAAAAGCGATTCTCTGCCCTGAGGAACAAAACTTTTGAAAGTAATGTTTCTAAATTAGACCCGAGTTCCAAACCCTTTTGGAAACTCACAAAAATTTTGAAAAAACCTCAAAAGCCAATTCCAGCGCTTAAAGAAGGTGGTAAAATTTTGATCACAAATTTGGAAAAAGCTCAGAAACTTGCTAAGCAATTCGAGAGTTCCCATAATTTCAGTTTGGGTCTTACTAGTCCTATTGAGAATCAGGTTGCTCGGGATTTTCTGAATATTTTCTCTCGGGAAAATATTTTTGATGATTCCTGGGGGACTGATTTGGACGAAGTAAGGTCTATAACTAAAAAGTTTCAAAATATGAAAGCTCCAGGTGATGATGGAATTTTCTATATCCTCATCAAAAAACTCCCAGAGAGTACCTTGTCTTTCCTGGTAAAATTATTTAACAGATGTTTCCATTTGGCATACTTTCCTGATAAATGGAAAAATGCTAAAGTTGTTCCAATTTTGAAGCCGGATAAAAATCCAGCTGAAGCTTCTAGCTACCGCCCAATAAGTTTGCTTTCTTCAATTAGTAAACTTTTTGAAAAAATAATTTTGAATAGAATGATGCTTCACATCAATACGAACTCAATTTTTGCAGATGAGCAGTTTGGATTTCGCCATGGGCATTCAACTTCTCATCAACTCTTGAGAGTTACCAATTTAATTCGTTCAAACAAATCTGAAGGCCACTCAACTGGAGTTGCTCTTCTAGACATAGAAAAAGCATTCGACAGTGTTTGGCATGAAGGTTTGATTGCTAAATTGAAAAAGTTTAATTTTCCACTTTACATTATGAAATTAGTTCAAAATTATTTAACTGACAGAACTCTGCAGGTAAATTATCAAAATTCCAAATCTAATCGACTACCTGTTAGAGCAGGAGTTCCTCAGGGTAGCATTCTTGGGCCTATATTGTATAACATTTTCACTTCGGACCTCCCTGATTTGCCTCAGGGTTGCCACAAATCTTTGTTCGCTGATGACACAGGCATTTCCGCTAAAGGAAGAAGTCTTCGTGTTATTTGCAGCAGACTGCAGAAAAGTTTAGATATTTTCTCTTCTTATTTACAAAAATGGAAGATTTCTCCCAACGCTTCCAAAACTCAACTTATAATATTTCCACATAAGCCTAGAGCTTCGTTTTTGAAACCTAGTAGTAGTCACATAGTCACTATGAACGGAGTTCCAATTTCCTGGTCAAACCAAGTGAAATATCTTGGATTAATACTTGACCAAAAATTAACTTTTAAAGATCACATTGAGGGCATTCAAGCCAAATGTAACAAATATATAAAATGTTTGTATCCTCTTATAAACAGGAAATCCAAACTTTGCCTGACGAATAAACTTCTAATATTTAAACAAGTTTTTAGACCGGCCATGCTTTACGCTGTGCCAATATGGTCTAGTTGTTGCACTACCAGGAAAAAAGCACTTCAAAGAATTCAGAACAAAATTCTGAAGATGATTTTGAAGTTGCCTCCCTGGTACAGTACTACCGAAGTACATAGAATTTCGAATGTTGAGACTTTAGCACAAATGTCCAACAAAATAATTAATAATTTCCGGCAAAAATCGTTACAATCCTCAATTGCAACGATTAATTCCCTTTATACTTAGATAAGATTTAGTTTTAGTTATTTAGTTTTAAGCTATCAATTGTTATACTGACATGCAGGTTTAAAAAACCTGTTTAAAATACTGAATTGCCAAGACAGGAACAATGTAAAAACACTTAGATATATATCATAACAATTAAGGCTGGTACGTTACTGCAGTAACTGGAGCACCTAGGTTAAAAATGAAATGTAATTTATTTTGAATTTGGAACAAATAAAGAGTTAAAAAAAAAAAAAATAAAAAAAAAAAAAAAAAAAAAAGCGTGGGGGGTGGTAGACCTTTGTTGTTTAATCACACCAACGAAAACAAAACACTCGCGGTGATATGAAGTGATTACCACGACCTGACTTGAAATCGATTAAGCTTGTTGGACCAAAATCGATATTTTAAACCACTCTAATATACACAGACACACATTTTCTCTGCTTTGAAAGTTGATACCTTTTTCTTGAAAAAGGGAAAATTGATTCAATAATTCTGGTTTAGAAAAGTTTTCACAAATATTAGTCATAAGTAAAATGATCGAAAAAAATCCCAATTTAGTCAGTTTCCCGTTTTTGTCAGCCTGAAATTTGAGAAAATCGGAAAACCACTGTATCTTGCAGATGAATGAGAGGGATTTGAAATTACAGCTATGTGAAATTATAAAAAGCTAAAAATCTGATGCGTGGAGGGGCTGACAAAATCAGATCATTACTGTAATCCCATTACAGTTTGAGCTGATAATTCAAACGCACTGCTACAAGATTTAGAAGCAGGGGCCTCCCTTAGCTCAGTCGGCAAAGACGCAGCTACAAAGCAAGACCATGCTAGCTGGGTTCGATGCCTGGTTTGTCTAGAAAGTTTTGAGGCTGAAAAATTTCTCGGCTTTCCTGGGCATAACTAGAGTATGATTGTACTTGATGCATGCTAATTTTGATGTGGCCGTAAAAGTAAGTACATTAAACGTAAAATTTCAATCGGCTTATCAGGCTTGATACTATACTTTCCATTTACGTAAACTTGTTTTTTTTTCAAACTAGGTTTTCGAGACATTCAAACCAAAAATTTTCTATTGAAAATTTTCAAATCCTAAATTCTGCACCCTTTGCAAATTTGACAATAATGAGTAATCTTACTCATCACCGCCGTTTAAAACATGGATTCACATTCAGGAAAGTTACAAATCGATAACGGGCAAAAATCACTGCGATAAGATTGGGAAATTGCAAAAAAATCGCGCAACGTTTTATCGTAGAGTTAAGAATCGCCGACCGGGAGTTATCTTTCCGCAGTCGACCGATATCCGTGGTTTAGCGAACAGCACTAGCAGCAATGTCGGAAGCAACACAGCCGAAGCCAATCTCAGCGATGGAACACACCTCGATGGTTTCATCGGAGGTTCAACCTCCGGAGTGGGAGTCACCGGATGCCACTAGCGGTTCATTTACGTTGAACCATGCCCAGCACGCCGAGGAAGGTGCCATCTCCGGTCATGGTTCGTTTGTGCTGAGAGAAGAGGAACCGATCATTATGGAAACCCCAGGCGCTGGTGAGGATGGCTCTTTTGTACTGAAAGATGACGTACCGATAGTTTCGACGGAGGAGGACGTTACGGCAGGTGATGGATCTTTCGTCCTGAAGGAAGCAGTTCCAATCGTTACGGAAACTGAAAACGATGGATCGTTCGTATTGAACGAAGAGGTACCCATCATAGATAACGCTCCCGCCGACTTTCCAGCGTTCATCGAAGAGTCGATAGCGAGCATAGCTCCACATGAGGGCTTCACGCCAGGAGAGTTTACAATTACGATCGACAGGCTCTCCGACTGCGAAGGTTTAATCGGTGAGATTCACAAGGCTACCATCACGGAAGGCGAGCGTGAGTTGGATGTGATCTGCAAGATTCCTCCGCTGGATCCCGTGAGAAGACAACAGTTCAATTCGATAGCTCTGTTCGAAAGGGAGGTCAACGTGTACTCCAACCTGCTACCGACTATGCTTGAGTTCCAACGGGAAAGAGGAGTTACCGAAGAGCTGAACGACGGATTCTTCAATATACCAAGGTGCTATCAGACCCATTTCGATGCGGAAAGTGAACAGGCATTGATTCTTATAGAAGATCTGCGCAATAGAGAGTTCAGCATGTGGAACAAGCTGGAGCCGATCAACTTCGAGCATGCGCGTTTGCTGTTGATCCAGCTGGGACGATTCCACGCGCTGTCGCTAGCGATGAAGGAACAACGACCGGACCTGTTCGAAGCATTCAAAGTACCGGACATGATGGTTCCGGCCATGGAGCTGAATGAACAGCTGATGGCAATGTTTACATCGGCGCTGGACGCTGCGATTTCCGTACTGGATCCATCCGAGGAGAGAGCCCGCTGGAAGATGGAAGGTTTGAGGAACGATTTCTTCGCTTCACTTCAGAGTTGCGTCGATCCAGAGCGTGCGGAGCCGTTTGCAGTACTGAATCATGGCGATTGCTGGACGAGAAACCTCATGTACCGCTATCAGGTAAGTGATTGATACATTTGGCATACATTCTGCGTATTAATCCGACTCGTTGTAGGAGGGAGCTCCACGTGAGGTTCTTCTTCTGGACTGGCAGCTGATCCGGTATGGATCTCCGGCTCTGGATTTGCTGTATTTCATATTCTGCTGTACCGATGAAGTCGTCCGCGAGAAACACTACGACGAAATGATTCGCATCTACTACACTGCTCTGAAGGATCTACTGGAGAAGTTGGGAAGCGAAGCCATGGACCTGTTCCCTCTGACGGCTCTGCTGCGGCAGCTGAAGACATTCGGCAAGTTTGCCGTAATCATGTCCGCTATGGACATTCCGATACTTTGTACCGATACAGCCAACGTGCAGAGTCACGGGGACGCTGCTTCTGCGTTTGCGGCTTCGCCCGAGGCACAACAGCGCTACGGTTATCGCATGGGAGGCGTGATTCGTGATGCGATTAAATATGGATATTTGTAGAAATGGAAAAATAAATGATAATATCGAAGATTTGCGTTATCTATGGCCAGCCATAATCTTACCGGGATTCAGTAGCACACGAGGCACCATGATGGACGTGAACGAGTAATGTTTCGGGGCAAAAGTTAATACTAGCGAATTGTAATGTAAGAGGCCGTCCAAAAACCATGTGGATGTACCCCTCCCACCTAAATTATGTTCTAATACAAATCATGAGTTTTGTCACTTCTTTCAACACTGCGCTTAATTAAAGTAAATTTACAAAACAACAAATTTGTGGGTCAAAGTTTTAATTTATTTGATAAGGCTCAATCGAATTAATTTTACAGAGCCGAGGATTCTTGTTCACTTTACAATACATCTTAAAACTATAGTGGAAAGGTACAACACAATAAACACTATATCTTCAGCTATCCAATAAGTCTCCTCCATCAGAACGGGAACTGCTTCCAGTGGTTTCATTGTATGACAGTATCACCAACGGGGGGCAGAGCTTTTCCATTGCAGCAATGGACGCAAAACGTGGTCAGCACTCACACACTCATCACGAAAAGGTTGCTTTCTACAGTCGACGACACATCGACCGAAAGAACTGCTGATGAAGAACAATAAGGAGAACCACACAATGGTTACAGCCGAGTTAACAGACGATCACGTGACACACATTGAGAGTGGTCTGCTTTTGTCGACAGCCTAATGAACACTGGTTTTTCAATAAATGTTAGCACTAAAACGTCACTTCGGATCGAAGCGACGGATCGAAAAAGTTGTATAGAAAGTAAAGTAATTCTGGAAAAAATATAAACGGTCACTTTTTTAAATTGAGTAAAAATTAAAAAAAAACATGTAAAAACTGCAATATCTCAAACTATATCTTTCAATATTTATATTTTTAATAGCAAATGCAAACTTTGGGAACATTTAAACACATGTACTGTACACTTGAAAGTTTAAAAATTATTGAACATCAACTTTTGGTCATATTTTTAAACTTCTTGTTAACTAGCTTTGTATATATTTTTGCACAGAGCAAAAAGTAAAAATACTAATAGGTCAGGTTCAACGTTTTTTGTCAATTTTCAAGTGTCTATGGTTGCAAATATTTTAAAGGTTTGCAATTTTAATGAACTTTAAAAAATAAAAACTAAATGAAGATATATTTATTGAGATATTTGAATTTTAACACTTTTTATGATTGTTTACTCAAAGTTACTATGAAAATACCATTTATATTTTTTCCAGAAAGACTTTATTTTTCTCTACAACCATGTCGCAGACGTCATTTCGATCAGAAGCGAAGTTTTCGTGCTAAAATTTATTAAAAAAATACAAAGACGCCATCTTGGAAAAAAAATCAACTTTCAACATGACCGAACTTTTGTGAAAATGTGAATGATTGCTCACACAATTATGCAATGTATAATGCAACACGCAGAAAGTCGAGTTTCGTCTTTTCTCAGCAGTAGAGCGAATCATGTGAGAAACTGAAAGAATATGAAAAACGTTCTCCCCGAATGCAAACTAAAAAAATGGTAGATTCAAACTGAATGATTTAGATATAATATCTGTCGAGATGAATCTCTTTAATAGAGATTAAACATTAGTGAGAAATTGTTTTTGGCTTAGGTTTCCCAAATTTGGATCAACTTCATCTGCTAAAACATAGCTAAAACAGTTTAAAGCTGGGAAGAAAATGATTGATTGACCGCTTAACTGTTACAAATAAATGCACTTGAAAGCGACTCAGCAATTAGCCACATTAGGCCTAGCTGTAAATTTTAGCTCGATTCTGCGATCAACGGATAAATACGCAATACGTCTACTAAACACTATAGGTTAATTTAGAGGGTTATGCTACATGTCACCAAGCAATTAACAAGAATGCACGCATTTTCGAAAATTACCAACAGGTGTCACTGTTTCAAGCCAAAGAAAAAGCTTCTTTCTTCGTTCAATATATAGCACGCCTAACACACCCCACAGCTGCTTGAAATCATTCGATTGATAAAAAAAGTACCCAGATTAGATAAGAACTTCTTTCCATTTTCACTTACAGCTGGTACCCAATCAACCGCCAGTCGTAGCGCAGCAAGTTACCATGTCTGAATCATCGAAAGAGTCTCAACCGGTCCTGCCGGAGTACGTTCGGCAATCGGCCGTCCGGGCGGCCATCAAGCTTGGCTTTACGCCCGACCAATTCCATGTATCGTACGAGGCCGGGTCCTGCTGTGACGGGTTGGTTGGTGAAATCCACCGGGTGATCATCGCCGAAGGCGGTCGCAGGGAGGATCTGTTTTGCAAAATACCCCCGCTGAACGCAGCCCGTCGAGAGCAGTTTAACTCGATGATCCTGTTTGAGAGGGAGATTCTTCTGTATTCAACCGTTCTGCCGGCCATGTTCGAGTTCCAGCGGGAGAAAGGAATCTGTGAAGCGGAAGGGTTCTTCAATGTACCCAAGTGCTACCTGACGTTGTTCGATGCTGAGAACGACGAGTCGGTGATCCTGATGGAGAATCTACGCAACAAGGGTTACCGTATGGGTAACAAGTTGGAACTGGTGGACTACGACCATGCTCGGCTTGTGATGACCCATTTGGGACGATTACATGGTCTGTCGTTAGCCCTGAGGGATCAGAAACCAGAGCTGTTCGCGAAATTCAAGCTACCCGACGTAATAGTCCCAGCCATTAAGGCCAGCGAACAGATGGTAGCCATGTTTGGCGACGCCTTGGAGAATGCAATATCCTTGCTGGGTCCCGAGGAAGAGACGGAGCGATCGAAAATGGAGGCTTTGAAAGTGGATCATATAGCAGCCTTGGAGACCTGCTTGGACGGATCGCGAGCTGAACCGTACGCCGTAATGAACCATGGCGATTGCTGGACCAACAACATCATGTATGGATACAAGGTAAGCGTAGTATTTCGGGATTGAAACCCGTTCGTTAACTGAAATCTACATACATTCCAGGACGGAAAACCAACCGAACTGGCGTTAATTGACTGGCAACTGGCTCGCTGCGCGTCTCCTGCCCTAGATGTTCTGTATTTCCTGTTCTGTTGTGCCGACGCTACTTTCCGGGAGAAGCACTTTGACGAGATGCTCGAGGTCTATCATACCTCATTGACGGAACTGCTAGAGCGGCTGGGAAGCGATCCGAATGAGCTGTTCCCATTCTCTGCCCTTCAGGAGCAGTTGAAAACCTTTGCAAACTTTGCCATCATCATGGCCGCTTTTGATGTACCAATACTGTGTACGGATCCGGCGGAGATGCCCAATTTAAATGGGGACTTGGCGGAGGGGTTTGCAGCGTCACCTGAAGCACAGATGCGGTACGCCCACCGGATGGGAGGTATCATTCGAGACGCTGTAAAGTATGGTTATCTGTAGTGTAGGATGCAGTGCGAAATTAAAGTGACAATCGGCGACATGGAGATTGATTGATGAACGAGTGTTCATGTGATTTCAAACGTATCACTGCCTTCAACTAATCCCACGAGCAACGGTGATTAATTTTAACGAGAATCGGAAGCTCTGCTAATGAGCTTCTGAATGATTTCAATTCTATTGCACAATATTTGAAATTCAACACCCAAAATTGGAGATGTGCCTTCATAGGACATTCTGCTTCAATCTGCAGCTAGAAAAAAAAATATTTTATATTTACTGCATTTTGTAGAAGAGAACACTTCCCGAGCAAAGTCGGATATCAAAATACTATCAAAATGATATCAAATTATGATTTTGAAATCATGTTGATAACATATTTTGATATGCTATTTTTTAATTTCGGTTGAATTCGAATTTTCGATATCGTCAAAATGTTTCTATGTTTTAACAATCTTGAAAAGTTCGCTCAGAATCCTATACAAGATTTTTATGAAATGTTCTCAAATTTCCTTTAGAATCATTTCTCTCCACAGAATGCTGTTCAGAGTGTCTCCAAACTAAATTATAGGTTCTCTCTGAGAGTCCCTTGAACATTTATTATAACATTTCAGAACACTCCGAAAAAATCGAAGAATTCATCCTAAGATTAGCTTCGAAAGAATTCACTGATGCTTCCTTTTATACTTATATTTAAAATTGGCCTGAATTTTCCTTTGCAGTTCACTTCAGAATTTTCTTACCATTCTGCTCATAATTATCTTGGAGCTCTCCTCTAAATTTTCCTGAAAATTAGGCTAGAATTCTCCTTAGAATTCTCTAGAAATTCTTCACGAGATGCCCTTGGAATTGATTTCGGAATTCTCATAAAACTCTTCTCAGAATTCCTTAAGAATTTGATACCCTTGGTATTTATTGCTGGATTTGCGTGTAACTCTCTTGAGAATTAACTTGAAGTTCTAGGAATTTCCTCGGAATTGTACCACAACTCTTTTAAAATTCTTCTCAGACCTTATTTGGGATATTCATTAGAAAAGGGCCTGGAATCCTCTTCACAGTCGTCATGAAATTTCCTACAGATGATTCTACTCTGAACACACACTATGACTTGGTGTTTTAATCAAAACTCTTGTTATTTTTCTATGAAATACATTGTTGTTATCTCCAGATTTATTTCTAGAATCTCTTAATAGTATGCTGAAAATTCAGCTCAAGGATCTTGAAATTGTTCAACGGTGCAGAATCTTATTTTTGCCCGGTTTTTCGTCGAAATTCACCAGATTTTTCCGGTTATTTCAGATCTCCGACTGCTCCCGGAAATCCCTTGAAATTTTCTTCAGAATTCCTTTGGAAATATAATTGGAATTCGATTCACTTGGAATTCTTCTCATAATTGACTTAGAACCATACTTTGAATTTCCTTTAAATCTCTTCAGACCTCCTTTCGAATTCTATTCAGAATTCCTTTGAAACTCTCATTAGACTTCCATTGCAATCCTCTTCAAAATTCACCTGATTTTTTCTTTTCGCTATCCCCAAGGAATTATCATCAGGATTACCGAGCAGTTGTACTTAGGACAAACGTGGAATTCTTCTACGAATTCACCAGGATATTTTCTCAAAAATAACGTGCCATTTCCTTAACATTTTCTTTGTCCTTAAAATTCATCTGAGTTGCTCAACAATATCCCTCTGAAGTTCTGAAATTATGTAGAAATTCTGCTCAGAACTAGCCTGGTATTCTTGGAAATGTATTCCAAACTCTATTGGAAATCTCCTTAGCATTCTCTGGAATTGTTTTCAAAAATTTCATTGAATTCCCTTGAGAATTCTATGAGCGTAAGCTGGTGATCAAAGCAGATTAGTTAACGTACTAAAATCTGAATTTTACATTCCAGTGTGCTGTTAAAAGCCCGCGAATCGTGATGCACATAAACTAAAAACACTCATCCACTGATGTCTGTGGTATATAATTCGTAAGTGGTGGCCTCACAACTGGATCTCGAATGCTGAGCCTTTCCGTCGATGCCATCAATACTCACTATCAACAGAAAATCGAGAACGTAAGTGGAAGGGTGATTAGGGTACTCGCTGAACTTAACCCTGAACAAGTTCATGGCGTTCTTGAACGAGTTACTACTCTCTATTCTATAACTTTGTATTGTAAAATACCATCCATCAAAGTCACACATTTTATTTCAATTAATATCGCAATATCCGTTGCTTTGCTTATCGCTGGCTCAGCTAAATTCAGCACCTACAGATAGCCGTATCTTATCAGATCCCGTAAGACGGCCCCCATACGCTTCTTGTACTTGGCTTCGGTTTTTTCATTGATCACAAAAGCGTTATCAAATGTTTGCGATTCCTTGTACTTCTCCGCTGCCTCGTCCATATCGGGCAGGTCCTGGTTTTCGATGCAGAGTATCGGAATCATAAACACTGCCATCAGGGCACCGAACTTGCCGCACACCTTCAGCTGCCGCAGCAACGCCGTGTAGGGAAACTGTCGAGACGCGTCGCCACCGAGTTTTTCCAAAAGCTGCTTCAACGAGTCGTAGTAGATGCGAATCATTTCGTCGTAGTGCTGACGGCGGAAGTCTTCGTCGGTGCATCCGAATATGAAGTACAGAAGGTCCAGGGCTGGCGATACGTAGCGACAGATTTGCCAATCGAGAAGAACGATCCCGGTGGGCACTCCCCGCTGGAAGATCAAATTAGTTTAAATTTTATGAGTTATGGGAATTATGCAAATTACCTTGTAGGAGTAGATCATGTTGTTGATCCAACAATCGCCATGCGCCAGAATGGAATACGGTTCAGCGAACTCTGCATTGAGAATAGTCTGTAGGTCATCGAACATGGTATCCTTGAGTTTCAATAGCTTTTGACGTGCCCTTTCCTCGTGAGGTTCTAGTGTGCCTAAGGCTCGATCCATTGAAAGAGTCAGCATGTGTGTGAATCCTGCGTTTGTTATCATCATTGTAGACAACGGATCGGGAACTTTAAACTGCTCGAACACGTCAGGACGTTGATCTTTCAGTGCAAACGACACGGCATGTAGCCTACCGAGTTGGACCATCAGTAGTCTAGCGTGTTCGTAGTTAACCGGCACCAACTTGTTCCACATCCGATGGTCCTTCAGACGCAGATCATCCATAATGATGACGGATTCCTCCTTCGCTTCATCAATGTAAGCAAGATAACACTGAGGAGCGTTGAAGAACCCAATTCCCAACTCTTCGGTCACTCCTTTTTCCCGTTGAAATTCGTACATAATCGGGAGTAGGCGAGAGTAAGCCTGAACTTCACGATCGAATATCGGCATCGAACCGAAACTCTGACGACGGGCATCGTTGATAGGTGGGATCTTGCACAGGACTACCAATTTACGATCACCTTCGGTGATGGAAGCTCGGAACATTTCCGCCACGAAGCCATCGCCCTTACCGGATCCGGACTCGAAGCTGATATCGAACTTATCTGGAGTGAATCCTTCCTGGGGAGCAATCCGAGCTACGGCGTCGTACATGAATTGAGGCATTCCATCGGCACGTTTCACGTAGGTAATACCGTGAGCAACCGAATCCTGAACAACTGCTGATGTCACTTCCGGATGAACTTCCGCAAACGTGACTGCAGAAGTCACTTCCGGTTGAGTTTCCTGAGAGGCCTCTTCAACAACTCCGTTAGTTAAGCTGAGAGCTACGGCTTCCACTTCACCCGAGGGTTTGACCTCCTCCTGAACCGTTTTCACGCTGGTAACTTCCTCCGTTTGTGGAGGTTGTTCCGTGTTCAGGATTGGAGTTTCTTCACCCATATTGCGCGAATGCTATCGAACCGAAATTTGAAACCGTACTGCAGTCACTGTGTTAATCGAAGCTTTTGCTTTTCGGTGGGACGTGGGGGGGGGGGGGGGGATTACCATCAATGAGTTATCTTATCAAGTTCTGTTATCTTGAAACAAAACGCAGAAATGTGTAAGCGTGCCAATTTGTGTGACTCTATGATTGCAAGGGATGACCGAGCAGTTAGGCAATAAATTCGACGATTTAGCAACTCTCCTGAAATGGGCATTGGTACCAATATCATTACGATTTATCGCCATGTTGTAAATTCCTATCCTATGATAAAAGACGAAGGCCGGCCTGTGACAGAATTTCAATCCTATCTATTCACCATCATCACCAGTCTGGTTCATTTGAATATTTAGCTACACGAGCAACAAAAAGTCTATACGCATGCTAGTAACAACTATTGTAAACTTGCTTTTGAGAAATGTGAACTTACTGTTCAGATCGCGTTGGTGGTTTCCGGTCTTGAAATGTATCATCGGTCACAATATAGACAAGCAGGTGTGTACCGCCGAGTATTTTCATACGATTTGACAGTTCCAATCCACAGAATCACGATTCGCCATTCTCGGTTGCTAACAGATTACTGAACGAGAGTAAATGCTTCCACTTGCTTGGACGTAGACTCGGAACTGACAGCAGTAAAACGAAACAGGTAAGAAACTGAAAGAATTTGAAAAAAATCTCTATCGCATGCAAACTCGTTTGCGATCGAGCCTGTTCAGCGATTGAATCAGTTGGATTAATTTGCAGCAGCTTTTGTTTATGTTTTAGGCTAGAAAACAAATTGTGCTTTTTTCTACAAAATTCTACATGTTTGGTGAATAATTCCATTTATTTGTGCTAATCCCTTAAAAAGCAGAGGTAATGCGCGAGTTGTTCGGAAAAGAAAACATCGAAAACACAATCGTACCCTGTTACGTTTATCAAGTCAACAATTGTGGAGGTCAGAATTCGTAATAGGTAATGTATGTGCTGAAATGAATTGCAATCTTTGAATAAAGTTTGTAAATCGCTCCGTGTATCGCGAAAACAAAAGAATAACGTTGCCCTTTTTCGGAGACCATCTCAATCATCGGGTTTTTGTCCAACGTCACTGTCATGTTTGGCGCCCATCGTCCATATGTTTGCGTTTTTATTGAAGCTATCGAAATTTTGATAAGATAACCACCGTGGAGAACAATGCAAAAAGAAATCTATGATTAACGTAGTGGCTTCAGTACGGCTTTAAATTTCAGTCCGACAACATATACGCATTATGGGTCAAGAAACTCCAGTCCAGAACACGGAACAACCTCCACAAACGGAGGAAGGTACTAGTGTGGAAACGGTTCAGGAGGGGGTCAAACCCTCGGTTGAAGTGGAAGCCGTAGCTCTCAGCATAGCTAACGATGTTGTTGAAGAGGCCTCTCAGGAAACTCAACCGGAAGCGACCGCAGCAGTTCCACAGAATTCTGCTCCAGCCGGTATCACATACGTGAAACGCGCCGATGGAACGCCTCAGTTCATGTACGATGCCGTGGCTTGGATTGCACCTCAGCAAGGATTCACACCTGGTCAGTTCCAGATTAGCTTCGAGTCCGGCTCTGGGAAGGGCGATGGCTTCGTGGCGGAAATGTTTCGAGCTTCCATCACCGAAGGTGATCGTAAATTGGTAGTCCTGTGCAAGATCCCACCCATCAACGATGCCCGTCGTCAGAGTTTCGGTGCGATGCCGGTATTCGACCGCGAAGTGCAGGCGTATTCTAAATTCCTTCCAGCAATCTACGAATTTCAACGGAAAAAAGGTGTAACTGAAGAGATGGGAATTGGGTTCTTTAACGCTCCCCAATGTTATCTGGCTTACATTGATGAAGCGAAGGAGGAATCCGTCATCATTATGGATGATCTGCGCCTGAAGGACTACCGGATGTGGAACAAGATGGTCCCAGTCAACTACGAGCATGCTAGACTACTGATGATCCAACTAGGTAGACTACATGCCGTATCCTTCGCTCTGAAAGATCAACAACCCGACGTCTTCGAGCAATTTAAAGTACCCGATCCGATGACTGCAATGATGATTGCCAACGCAGGATTCACACAGATGATGCAAATGTCGTTAGATCGAGTCTTGACCATAATTGAACCTCATGAAGAAAAGACGCGACAAAAGCTCCTGAAACTGAAAGATACTATATTCGATGACCTGCAAACTATCACCAAATCAGAAATTGCCGGACCGTATGCTGTTTTGTCTCATGGCGATTGCTGGATCAACAACATGATCTACTCGTACAAGGTAATTTGTCAAAAATTTAGAAAATCCAAAATTCACGAAGATGTTAACTTTCAGCGAGGAGTCCCCACCGATATCACCCTTCTCGACTGGCAAATTTGCCGTTATGTATCGCCGGCCCTGGACCTGGTATACTTCATATTCTGTTGCACCGACGAAGACTTCCGCCGAAAGCACTACGACGAAATGATTCGCATCTACTACGACTCGTTGAAGCAACTTTTGGAGAAACTCGGCGGCGACGCAACTCGACAGTTTCCTTACACGGCGTTGCTGCGACAATTGAAGGTGTGCGGTAAGTTCGGCTTGCTGATGGCGATGTTCCTCGTACCGATGCTCTGCACCGAAAACCAGGACCTGCCCGATATGGACGAGGCAGCGGAGAGGTTCAAGGAGTCGCAAGAGATTGAAATACCGTTCGAGGTTACCGAAAAATCCGAAGCCTCGTACAGGAAGCGTATGGGGGCCGTCGTACGGGATCTGATAAGATATGGCTATCTGTAGGTCGAAACTGAGCCGATTCAAAAGATAGGGGAAGTGAGTGATAGATGTTGGGATATTATTAAAACAAATAAAATCAATAATTTCGAACAAAGAGTCAGAGTTTCGGTTGATTTGAAGAAAAAAAGGAAAAGAAAACGAAAACCGAACAAAAACTATCATGATGCACATCAATAATCAGGCAAACTTGCAAGCTTCTGATAACTACTTCCCGCAGTGAGCTTATCTATCCATCAAAAGCCTTAGCCTCCTAGAAAGCAATCTCGTATATAAATAGCCAAAATATCGAGATGTTGCCATGTAGACGAAGTTCACATAAACACTAGCACCACCTTCTGGTAGCATTTTCAACTAAGCAATCCATTATTTTGTTAACTGGCATTATGGTCGATAGTACGAACTATTCTCTGCACAATAGCAGCACCTCCTTATTCCTGGCTTTGACGCTCTTACACGAGCTTTTGCTTGCTCTCAACTTAGTGTTTTTGCCCATTGTTATATATTGAAAGCATTTTGTGCCAACCGATGCATACATTTTTATTTTGTGTGACATGCACAATAATACCAACCGGTGGAAACTAACGATTTTAAATTGGCTCACTACTTGACTAGTCTATTTGTCCCAAGCAAATCGATTAACGTACCCCAGTCGAAATTCTATTACTACACTATGTTTGTTTTCATTCACTATGAAAGTTTGACAGATAAAATGAGGGGTTCGTGGATTTTCCTATGTTTCGAGGGGTGCATCGATTAGCTTGGGACCGAAGATAGTACCAGAGCTGAGCCAAAAAGTTGAGCACGTTTCTTCGGGATCTTCTGGTCTTAGAGTTGAAAATTCGGATTTTGGTGTGTTGACTTATCTGGTTGGATCTCCATACATTTCGTTAACCCGCAAAGGCAGCCCAAGCCTTGGTCCCGCCGTCCGACGCTATTTGGCTGCCAAGATATTGGAAATTTTCGACCTTCTCCACTGCTTGCCCCGCTACCGTAAAGTTGGAAGGGTTGCCCGTGTTGATGTCTAACGATTTGGGCTTGTTGACGTTGATGGTGAGACCCGCCGCAGAGGAGCGTTCGGCTAGGTCATTGAGCTTACTTGTGCTAGTAGAGCAACATCATCAGCCAAATCGAAGTCGTTGAGATGCTCCATGGTGATAGGCTGCCAAAGCAGCCCACGGTTCGGTACACGGTCAATTGCATCTACCATGATTTCGTCGATTACGATGAGAAACAGTAGCGGTGATAGTATACATCCATGTCTCACACCAGCGACTACCCGGATAGGGTCGGACAAGGCTCCCTTACGCAGAACTCTGCACGTGAAAGCCTCATACTGCGCTTCAATGAGGTTGACGATTTTATCCGGGACTCCCTTGCGTCTCAGGGCGCCCCACAGATTCTCGTGATTGAGACGGTCGAAAGCTTTTTCGTAGTCAATGAATACCAAATAAAGGGACTCTTCGAATTCATTGATTCTCTTGATCCCACTCTAGAACCTACATTTAGTATTTAGATCTATTAGTGAACTGCTGGTGTAGAGTCGAGTTTCGAACGCCTTTGGATACGGTTGTGTATTAAGTGTATTCTCTGTTTTGTGCGTGCATTCGCTTTCATAGTTTTCGACTGCATTTGCCGGATTAGCGCTGGCACTCTGCCTCCCGGACGGTTATACGTGTGTGACTTAGGATTGGGCGATCTTGGATCGATCTTTGGAAGATCGATCTTTTTCATCCCGATTTCCGATATTTCAGATCGATTCTTTGTCCACGAAAAGATCGATAAAATCGATCTCTTCTTTCGATCTTTTCGGACTTCAAAAAGAAAAGGTGTTCAATTTTTTAAGTGTATAATATACACTGTATATACATCGAAAAAACGATTTATTCTCACCCCAGACTGCGTGGTAAATTTAACGAACATAACTTCCACACGTCGCTCCCTACAATGACATCACTATTTGCGTTTCCGATATTTACGGATACAGCAACATTTGATGGTTTGAACTACCCAAGTAACCATAGGCCCGTTATTTTGCCTTTTTGGCTTTTTTTTAGCTGAATAACGGCTATATCAGTGTTTGTAAGTTCTGATAAGGCCCGTATATAGCCAAAAAGGCGAAATAACTTACTTATGGTTACATGGGTACCTCTCTCCTGTACTCATTGCTCCTAACCGTCACGACAACATTTAATTGAATATTATAAAAGAAAGAAATTCTTGGGGTACCAACGTAAACAAGTGTATTAAAATAAAAATAAAAAAGATCGATCTACTAAAGATCGATTCTTTGGTACCAATTTAATCAGTAGATCGATTCTAGAGCCAAATATAAGATCGATCTGTCAAGATCGATCTTTCTCTGAAGATCGCCCAATCCTAGTGTGACTGGTGGTTTTCTCGCTTTCCGAGAAGTTTTAGAATCGAGAAAGAAAACATGATTCATCATGTTTGCAAGCAACAGAAGATTTAACACTATCTGCGTTGTTTGATTTTTTTCTCCCGGTCCAGAAATTTATGGATTAGCCGGTGCCGGTGGTGTAGTGGTAAGCGTGACTGCTTTCTAACACCCCAATGGGTCAGGGTTCAATCCCAGCCGAGGTCGGTGGGATTTTTCTGAGGCATAAAAGGGAAGTAAAGCCGTTGGTCCCGGCCCATGTGTGTTGAATGGATGCGATATCCTGCGCAGATGTGGAAGCTGCCTTCCTGCACATTCGATTGCCGTCAATGAATGGCAATCGATGTCCGTCGGTGATTGGCACTAGATTGCGGAACAGAGACCGACGTTAAATAAAGGAATGAAGAAATTTGTGGCATCGCGAGTGATAATTTTAATTTTAGTTTATTTACGCGGTGATGATGTTGGTTCACTCGCAACTATTTTTGAAAAAATTAAGTGTTTTCGAACGAAAGTGTACCATAAGTGCTTCTGAACGTGTTTCGCAGTTGGGTGTGGTGAAATTCGTGCATTCCCGTTTGATTTTGGAAATCCGTATCACAAAATTGCCCACCGATTCCTTTTTTTGCCGTTCGACGACGACGGGTGTGCTTTCGCAAGAGTAACGTTTATTGGATCCGTTTCTTTGCACGGCAGTGTTTTTTTTTGTAACTAGCGTAAGTGTGCCTGCCAGTGCTGTAAATTCTCAAAATCAATTGAACATTTTTGATGAAAATGAGAAAAGCAGCTATCCGCTATCAAAGGAGACCTCCTTCGAATGGGTGATATAAGTTGCTTAGTAATTCGACAAAGGCATGGATCATTCTCATTTGAGAAACGCTATCGTTCAATTGAGTGTAACCTACAAATAAACGGAGCTCTGGTCGACATTAAGGCGAAAAATCTAAGCCAACTCGACACCAACCAAACCCCAACCTGATGTTGACCCGACATTGACCCTACATAAACCCAAAATTGACCCGACAACAGCACGACATTGGGTCGTCATCGACCTTACATTGATCCGACATCGGGTCGACTTGTCTGTTCGCTAGGTTTCTTCCATAAACGCGAACCAAAGTACGCTCACGCAAACCAACAACATCATCGGATAGGGGCAACTATCACCTTTCCGAAAGTGGTAATGGTTTGTGTGGGCGTACTTTGGTTCGCGTGTAAAGGGCCTTAGAAAGTATGTTTACAAATGCTTTTGTGCCGTTATCAAATGTTATGCCTGAAATGATAGTGAGTGACTCAATTGACAGTGACAATAAGCTTCGAATGAGCAAGTGGCCCTTCAAATTATGGTCATGTGAGAATTCGTTTTCACAGGATTGATTGAATTGTTGTATTGGTTCATCTTCAATCGAATGACACGATCATTAACAGCACTGGTGCCTGCGATTTGCATCGAGTGACGGAGATTGTGAGTAACCTGAAGGATGTCTCGCTGGATACGCCCAAGACTGGACGGGCGGTAGCTGGTGGCCATGAACTTTCCTGGGGAAAGCATTAGATGCGAACCTCCTCCCAGATCACCATGGCAATACAGGAAGTATCACAACAAAGGTAATTGCTATTAGATATTTTGCAAACAGTTACAGATAGCGGACATGAAGAACCAGTGGAGATACCGGGCAAAGGTGTTTATCCTAGACAAATGGTAAGTTACAAATTCTCTGTTGTTTTGGCGCAGTCGTAGTCGCTGTCGTAATCGCCGTCGTAGTCGTAGGCAGTACCGTTGGTATATTTAAAATTAAACATCAACCGCTGAAAATATGAATTATCGCGTATTTCTGTTGTTCATTACATTCCAAGTGAAATTCGATAACGTTATTTCATTTGAATAGCTTGTTTAACCAGGTCTTAAACAATCGTCACGTCGTTCATAGCTTGTTATGATTGTCTCTGAGTGGTGCGAAGTGAAATTTTCTTCATGTTGGTAGTGTTGAAATAAACGTTTCATCACCGTCGGTTGGTAGAGAGAAGTGTCAAACGACTTTTTGTGCAGAGCCGATTCGTGACTTTGTGATTGTTTGTTGACATTGTTCATAGCTGGAGTTTTTACGGAGTGGAATAAAATTCAGAATGAAGTGTTTTGCTCACTTTTGCAATTATAAAGATGGACACGACGAAAAGCGAAGCCTATTCAGGTTTCCCAAGGATTCAGCAGTACGAAAAGAGTGGCTCAGTTCCTGTGAGGTGGGTCTCATATCTATGGAAGTGCTGTCGAAATTCCCTGGGACCTCCAATGGCAACGATTTGACTTCCCTCCAAATCGTGTGAAACTCGAACATGAAAACTCTATAGAACCCCCGTAGAACCTCGCTGGCAGCAACTAAAATATCCACTGAAACCTCTTCTGTCGCGGGAAAAATCTGTTGAAATTTCCTGGAACTTTTGTACTATCATCACAAATCTCCTTAGAACGTTCTCCGAAGTCACAGTCGTTCCTGAGCGAAAAAAAATCGGAGGGGTTTTTTTCAGCGCAGGAGTCTACTTTGGTCCAAAATACGCAATAATACTGTTATTTTTAATTGTTTGAGTCGTTTCGAATCACGTTTTTAAAAAGATCAAAAACATTACTGAAAAATATTTATTTTTTATTTTGGACGATAACAATACTTCTATCTATTTCAACGAACCACAATGATAAAAAAGTGGTTCGATTTTACAGCTCGAAAGTGGTTCGATTTTGAGGTCCGTCTTCGCACCACTCAGGATTGTCTGAACCACGCGTAAAGAGAAAATCGAAACATTGAACGTCGCGTGAAAGTGGATCTTAATGAAGGCCTAAGTACTCTTTCGTAGCATTTAGTTTTAGGATTTCAAAGATCGTCGGTTGCAGTGGCTTGCCTACTGAGCAGAAAAACGCGGTCAGGTCCTTTCATATTAAAAATGTATGGTAAGATCGCTTGTTTATCGTGTATTTTGTAAAACTTTTCGTTGTCGTCGGTGCCGGGTTTGAATAGTTATAAAAACTTGAGTAACGCTATAATGTGATATGAGAGGCTCGGTGGCCTTAGAGCAACCGTTTTTGCTTGCTGAGCAGAACATCATGAGTCTAGTCTCAGGCCCATCCACATTCAAGATTCGTCAATGAATAAAAAGGAGCTCGTCTGCCTAGTGGCAGACGTTTTTGCTTACTGAGCAGAGGACCGTGGGTTCAATCCCAAGCTCCTTCGCGTTATACAATCGTTAGGACATTAATTCAGCTTATCGTTTACCAAAACGAACCATGCTGCTAACCCAACCCTCTTACCCAACATCTCTGTGATTCCTCGTAGAAGTGCAGAGGACTCCTCGGCTTCCATCAAAGCAAGTGTCACGTCAACACATTCCTACCCATTCCTTTCTTGACCTGCGTTCAGGCGCGGCTGGCGCTGGTATTGCCTAATTCGTGATCACCAGTTTTGAGGATGATTGCTAGTCCCAAGCATCGTCTATTGGTTCTCTGTGTAATTACAGCTGGTCTGGCAATAACAGAGTACAAAACGTGGGCGGTCAATCATGCTCATGCTCATGCTCATAAGTGAACTGCTGGTATATTCAATTAGAGGATGTTCCTGAATATACAGTCAAACAGCACGTACTACCTTCAATGGCAGCTGTCCAGCAGTGCTCCCATTTTATTTACAACAATCCAATGCCTACGAGATTGTGCTGAAGGATGTGCCCAAGCTGTGCCCAATCTAATTTCGGCACAAAGTGCTGAGTTACTTACCCCTTTCTGGAGGCACATAATTCAGTGGAGAATAGCGAAGAGAATCTTAACATTATTGATGGGAATCCGGAAAATAACTCTGAAGACATTTTGGAATGATCATGACGCAAATCCATGAACCATTTTTGAGATAAGCATCAAAGAAATAATTTAGTTAAATCAAATCAGGCATAGCAATTTTTTTAAGATCTCGTAAACTGAAATTGAAGATCCAAAAAAATCAAGATTCTGCACCCAACCGGGGGATGTAAGATTCGCTTACAATTATGTGGGATTCATCATCTGAGTTAGTGGAGACCGCATGCAAGAAAAAGGAGAAAGAAAAGTAGGAGTGTATTAGTGAGTGAAATTAATCATGTCGAAAAAAAAAGATTGCCGGCTGCAAGACTCGAACCACGAACGCCACGATTATCAGACCTGTGCTCTCTCCATGCTTCGGGATATGGATAGGCTAAAAGCAAACATGAAGCGCTCATTTCATCGCATACTCGACAATCGTTTGCTTTTTTTCTGCTGGAAAGAATCGAGGCAAGTGTCCCAAGTAACAATTTAACAGGCTTTGGGCTTTAACTCTGATTTATTGTGGTTTGTCGTTATACAATAAGCAATCTTTTGAGATTAAATACATCATTTAAAAATGTAAAACATTCTTGATTAGTAGTTCAGCTTTATGCTGTTTTAAAAACCTTTTAAAGCCTGACGAGAAAATCACAAAGTGCCTGGTTTAAAAAATTAATTTAATACAGAGTCCCTTTATAAAACTGTTCAGTAAATCAATCGGTATTTGTCTTATCGATGTTACGACAAAATACTCCATAAAGGTATTTTATCATTATAAAAGCAATTATCAAACCGTTCGGTATCAAACGGGATCAAAAATCATATATTGATGCGTTTTGGTGTCAAGGAAGTGTATCATAAAACCTCCCACTGTTTACAAATAAAACTAAAAAGATGGATCCGCCTCGAGACAGAGAAAAACATAATCGAGTGGGGCTTTCAAACGCAGAATTGCAAGGAAATGCCAAAGGATAATCGAGCAATAATTCTAGCAAAATCGGTCAACAACAACAGAGCAGCCGACTGAGAGAAGCTAAGTGAATGCGGTTTACGAAGCACTGAAGCAAACCAGCTTTTTCACAAATGGCTTATGGAAAATTAGTGTGTATGCCATCGCCATATTGTTATTATTCCATTTGCTTTTTCACAATCTTCGTTTTTCCTTTACATAACTTTATTTTCATCAATTCATCAATGAGCAGCAATAGAGATTACGAAAATCATCATAGTCTCGGCTAGGGGCAATGATTAACATAACAAATAGCTATATTTTGTTTCCTAAATTAAAAATAATTAGTCAAATCAACGTTTTCCGAAGGTGGACTTATTTTTTTTCGATCTTTCACATAAGATTTAATCGGTCACCTAAAAATAGAGTACAATTTGAGTTTCGATAATTTTAGTAATTCTTTCACTTTAATGACATGGATTTTTGACAGATTCATTTTTGAACAATTAATTTGGCAAGGTCGGACGATATTTATGTATGCCTTTTTATCTTGATTGATGCTTTATTTTTAGTGCGCTTAGCAAGCGTCAAAGGCAAATGGCACAAGTATTGATGCCAAATGGTTTTTATTGTACTTTTAATAAGGATTTAAAATGTTTCTCAATGCGTTCGTTATCACCTTTTTACAGCAAATCATTCTTGAAATGTCTCGATAATACACTCTTTAGAACCTTCTTCAGGGTGAGCCAACTAGACAGATTCTAGTCTTAATGAGGTTTTGGGGGATGTAATAAAGGCCAAGCCATGTTGACCAGGGTTTTATGCATGTTGTTTTATAGAAGCCTTGTAGTACTTCATAAAACGTTAAGTGAGCATGCATAAGGGCGAATACGCGATGATCGATTCTCTTCATCGATTTTCTCTTTGCATTGCTACAGCTAAGCGAAACAATTTTCTAGAATTTGTTCAATGCAGAGTAGTAACAGGTTGTATTGGTTATCAAAAGCAACAGCTAACGCACCGAGAAACGTTAAATCTTGCGAGTTATTAACAAAAGAGAAAATCGATCATCGCGTGTAGGCCCTTATGCATGCTCACTGTCGAAATGTTACTTTGGATGTGCATCGTTCTACCATGTTATACATAACAATCAAGGCAAATGCATGCTTGTGTAGGTGAAAGCATAGACAGAGCACGGAACTAACATTAATTTTAATAAATTTTTGGTTTGCGTGTGGTCTAAGAAAACTTTTTAAGATTATGGGGCAAGAAATTTTTGAAACGTTTATTAGTGAGCTAGAACAATAGTCTGAAACAGTGAGATGTACGAGATCTTAAAGTTAGAAAATTATCTGAAAGCCGGACGTAAAACTCAATATCTCATTTAATTAAAATTAAAATTAAAATTATTACGATCCTGGACTTGCCATATTTTCAAAACTCTGAGACATTGCTAATTTCTTGAGATCTTAGACTTATTTTTTCTTATTCCGTACTAGGAATAAGATCAGAATTCCAAAATTGAAGAAATATTCAACATTTTAAAATAAAAATTCCAGAATAAGGTACACCGGGGCAAGTTGATACGCGCGGGGAAGTTGAAACGGTAAGTGTATTTCTTAGCGGAAGTGATACACATACCGTTTCAACTTGCCCCGGTGTACCTTATCGGACTTAGAATTGCCAAAACAGAATTCGAAACGTATTAAAACATATTATGAGGTTCCAATAAAATTCCCGTTTTTTCCCCAGTTCAGTACAATCATCGACAGTTCCATGACCCAACTGCGAACATAATATTATCAAAACATTTGACACACACCAACATGCTCAATATGACACCAGATTGTGAAACTATCGTTCGAAACAATGCCCACACGGGGACTGCTCGTGCGTACCTGCACGAATGATAAGATAAACAAAAAACGAAACGGAAAAGTACACTCTCAAATATTAGCTGTAGTTTCTTCTCCACCAACGTTCACTTTCAATCGGGTAACGAAACCAGCAATAACCTGCCGACATGAGTGGGCTCACCGTCAGTCATATTCCGATCTTCCAAGAACACCTCGATAGAATAGCACTGCGCGAGGGATTCTCCCCGGGACGCTATTCCGTTGCCATCGATAGTGATTCGGCATTGAACGACGGATTTATGAGTGGCATCGTGCGCGTGCGGATCACACAGAAGGAGGATCATCGGGAGCTGGTTCTACTGTGCAAAGTACCACTGGCCAACGAAACGCGCAGAGCTCAAGGAATTGGACTGTTTGAACGGGAATGTCGTGCCTACAGCGAGTTGCTTCCCACGTTGTTTGAATTCCAGAACGAGAAAGGTTTGAGTTCGAAAAATGGAGGATTCTTCAACGTTCCTAAATGCTACGATGCGTTCTGCAAGAAAGAGACATTGGAGGCAATGCTGATCATGGAAGATCTGAGGGAGCGCAATTTTCGAATGTGGAATAAGTACGAGCCGGTCGATTTCGATCACAGCAGAATGGTATTTACCCACTTGGGTAAGTTGCATGCGATTTCGTTTGCTCTGAGGGAACAACGAGCGGTGGAGTTCCGGAAAATGGGAGACTATTACAAAGATCCCATGCTGGAGGCGATTGAGGGAGGTGATGCGTTTTTGAATATGCTCAAGTCGATGTGCGATCGAGCGGTGGGCACGTTGGAACCCCATGAGGAATTTCGTCGGGAGAAAGTGCTGCAGTTCAGGGAGACCATGAAGGAAGAGCTGACGAAATGTGTCCGTTCGGAGTTTGCCGAACCATACGCAGTGCTGGGACATGGAGACTGTTGGATCAACAATTTCATGTTCACCTATGAGGATGATGTAGGTAGATTGCTTTGACTTGATAGCTCGTCAAAACTCACTATAAATTTCAAACTTTTTTTTTAGGAAAAATCGCCGAAGGACGTAGCTTTCGTTGATTGGCAAATCTGTCGCTACGGCTCACCGGCAATCGATTTGGTCTACTTCATATTTCTCTGCACCGACGCCGAGTTCCGAGCGCTAAATTACACCGCACTGCTTGAACTGTATTACGACTCCTTCAGCGATCATCTCGGAAGGCTGGGAGGCGATGCCGGGAGGCAATTTCCGAAGCAGATGCTGAACAAACAATTGAAGCAGTTTGGCAAGTTTGCTCTTGTGATGGCAATGCTCATACTGCCGGTCATCTGCACACCCAGTGATGATTTGCCCGATATGGACAAAGTTGCCGAGGCAGTTGAAAAGCAAGAGCAAGATTCATTCCACATCGGAACGGGCGAAATTGCCGAGGAACGATACCGACAGCGAATGGGTGGCGTGATTCGAGATCTGGTGCAGTACGGGTATCTCTGATAGTTGCTCAATGCACCGTTTGCTGTGTCTAGGATAATACCGTCTAGTTGGTACTGTTTATTATAGATGTTTAATAGATCTATACTGAGTAGATGAATACAATGTTTTATGATTAACGGGAAAGATATCATTTGGGGTCTCAAATAGCCTAGTCAGTAAAGAAAGGCAAGGTATTACCAAGCTGGGTGCGATGGGTTCGATTCCTTTCGGGTTGGAAATGTTCTCGACTTCCCTGGGCATATCATTGTGCTGCACAAATTCCACTGGGAATGTGGAAGTTTGTCCTCCCTGCCATGTTGTAGGATAGCTTAATGTAACCGGTACGCAATCGTGAGAGGTCCCGCTGGTCTTTCCTTTTAAAATTCGAACTCAATGATTTGGTAACTGGTACTTAGATCTTCTCATCATCATCAGGGATACATCTTCGTTCAATTTCGAGATCTATACTGCCGTTATACGCATAAGAGTCCCACGGTACATAAGGATTGCATAGAACATGGGACAGTTTTGCGTATAACGGCAGTATAGGAAACCAACAAATACAAAGAGAGTAATACCATAGCGGTAACTCTAAGACTAGAAGGTCCCGAAGAAACGAGCTCTACTTTTTGGCTCAGCTCTGGTACTATCTTCGGTCCCAAGCTAATTGATGCACCCCTCGAAAATTAGGAAAATCCACGAACCCCTCATTTTATCTGTTAAACTTTCATTACGAATCAAAACAAACATTGTGTAGTACTAGAGTTTTGACTAGAATGGGGAACGTTAATCGATTTGCTTGAGACTAATAGACTAGTCAAGTAGTGAGTCAATTTAAAATCGTTAGTTTCCAATCGGTGGTATTACCAACAATCAATACGAAACTAACGATGTAAGTAACCTCGGAATGAACGTGAGTGACCAGTAGACTGATGCAAAATTTGAAATTGTCGCTCCACAGTGTTCAAACGGTTTCAAATCGGGTCCTGATTAGCCTCCGAAAGTTTAAACTCATTTGATAAGAAACTGACTTGGCACAAACCATTTGAAGTTTATATGGAAATTACTATGGGAAAACAAAACTTTTTGTTCATTGTCTTCTAGCCTTTTTACATATTCTACCAAACGTCAAATTAAATAGTTATTAATTGTTCAAGAGATTAATAATCTTATGGCAAGATTAAGCAACTGTATTGTGGGCAACACTGTATTCTGCAGTGTGACATAGTAGCCATGATTTTTGTCCTCTATTCTACGCGCCATTAACACCAATGTTGCCTGCTGAACAGTTGACTGAGCATAAAGCTGGGTTTAGACTAGGCAAGTCAAATGATCAACTCAGTTGTATTCAATTGGCTTGAAAAGTTGAGCCTAGTTCAACTTTTTTTCAATTCAAGTGAGTTGATCAAGTCAGTTGAATGGCATGGTTTACACGTTCAATTCGCGTTCAAGTCAGTTGAATTCAACTGACTTGATCAATTGACTTGCCCTGTTTAAACCCTGCTTAATCATAAGACATCAGTGACTTCAATCATTAATAATTTATGTTCCTTAAATTTGAAAATTGGTCTTCAACAAAGTTGTAGCTGAGAAAATATTCTACAAGCTCAGCTATAATTTTCTAAAGTAGAGTGAACTGGTGAATTTTGAGATAGATATGAACCGAAATTATGGTTTCTCCATAGTAATTCCCATATAAACTTCAAAAGGTTTGTGCCAAGCCAGTTTCTATCTAAATGAGTTCAAATTTTGAGAGGCTAATCAGGGCCCAATTTGGAACCGTTTGAGCACTGTGAAGCGAAAATTTCAAATTTTGCATCAGTCTAGTGACCAGGCATTCTGAAATGGGTTACTGAATCTCAACAGAGCAATCACCTTTCAACTTCCGGGCTAAAATTGTTTGCAATGGGATCAGTATAAGATAATAATAGATTATAATGCAAACATTTTTCTTCCATAAAAACACTGCCGGACGGTGGAAGTTGAATTGTATGTATATACATACATACAGGGGTTGTGAGAAATATAGGGTACTAGACAAATTTTGTCCAACTTTGGATTGTTGTAACTTCGTTGAATATTATTCGATTTTCAATCTTCAAGAAGCATTCGACTGGAAAACTAATCAAATTTTATGGTGGAGCACTGAAAGTGACCATGGTTACCGGATACCGGAGATATTCCGGGTTTCCTGAGGGCATGTCTAAATTGCTAAATTTGTGATGAGTTTTTCTCAGGGTGTCCGTTACTAATCTGTGTTTTTTGTTCATACGCCAAAAATAGAACCATTTCCAAAGCAAATGACGCAACAAGAACTAAAATCGGCTAAGAATCAACCAAGATATGGCCATTTCTCTGGAATCGGTCCTGAGGGAGGGTTCTGAGTGCGCTCAGTTCTTTCATTCACTCAAAACATGCCATGTGACACCTCTTTATTCATGGTTTTTTACCAATAGGCTTTTTATAGACTTTAAATGGAGCATTGACTACATTGGCCACTTCCGGAGCCACCGGAGTGCAACCGGAGTGTCCCCAGGGGAACCTGTAGTAGGGGACAAATTCATTTTTACACCAAAACATGCCGTGCGACAACTCTTTCTTCATGGTTTTCTACCAATAGGCTTTCTATAGACTTTAAATGGATCATTTACTACATTGGCCACTTCCGGAACCACCGGAGTGCCCTCGGGGGAACCTGTAGTAGGAGACAAATTCATTTTTACAAAAATCATGCCGTGTGACACCTCTTTCTTCATGGTTTTTCATCAATAGGCTTTCTGTAGACTTTGAATGGATCATTGACCACATTGGCCGCTTCCGGAACCACCGGAGTACTCCCGAGGGAACCTGTAGTAGGGGACAATTGCATTATTACACCAAAACATGCCGTACAACTTAAACTTAAAATTTGATTAGTTTTCCAGTCGAATGCTTCTTGAAGATTAAAAATCTAACAATATTCAACGAAGCTACAACAGTCCAAATTTGGACAAAATTTTGCTAGTACCCTATATTTCTCACAACCCCTGTACACATACATATAAAGACGAGTAAGCTTGAGATATAGTAAAATCCAACCAATTACCGGCCACCCGTGGCGCTGTTGTCGTAGCGGTGATAAAAATATAAACATCTGTCAAACGTGACTCACGTCAGAATGTTCACTTTTTAAATTGAAAATTTATCTTGTCTTGGTACGTTTTTGGTGGTCAAAAAGCTTCTAGAATTGTAGGAAAAGTGCCCTTCTTCAAAGTGACAAATGACTACAATGATATCACTGCTTGCAATCAGGAAAATAGTTGAATTTTTAGACAACGTAAACACAAGCTTCACCGCTTAACATTCTCATTGTTGTTGCAGGATCGTTGCATTATCCCGGGATGCAACGAGATCAAATTTCAACTTTTTCGAGTTCCGAATTCGGGGAGCATCAAATTCGTGCAGTGGAGAAAGGTTGCCACTGTTTACGGATCAGAAGAATTTAAGTTCCAAAGTTTGTTGTCGGGGGGTTAATTTGAGTTTAATTTCATGTGGCCGCTCCCCGGGATAGGAACTTTGCAGAACAAATCCATTCCCCTCAATTCTTGCTTTGCTGCTAATCTACTGGTGTAGCCCAAGCACACAATATGCTAGGTCGCTAAATCCGCTAGCACGGAGTCCCCAACATCATCCAGTATATCCAGCAGACTGACTTGGACGTCGATTTCAATCATACAAAACATAACCTAAATAATATAGGTGCATCAAAAAACGCATTTTCATTATCTTTCAATGACATTGCAATGAAAATTAATATAACATTACATTATTCGACAAATTTCCTACATGTATCATCCATAGCTCGTATCTCACTATTTTGAACTCTTTTTTCAATAATTTATCACTCAAACTCTGGAATATAAACCGGCTGCCATAAATTTATCACCATCGACTAGTACTGTTTCCCGCCACTAGTGACGCATAAATTTCACTTGGATTCTACTATAGCCTCACGTTGCTTCAGAAGCCAGTCCTCTAAAAGGCTGACTAAAATTAGATTGGTATGCCCCTCGCGCGCCGCTAGCACGCCTCTAGTGTTGAGAATCGAAAATATTTGGCAGTGGTTTGTTTATACTTCTATAGAGAACAACTGGTGCAAGTTTGATCAAAGTAGTCGATCGCGTTCAGAAATAACGTTAAATGAAACTCGAAAGAAGGAAAAATATTGTGCACAATCACCTGGAAAATCCGGAGTGGTCCGGTTCCAAGCTGGCTAAAGTGCTGAAGATGCCGAAAACAACAGTTTGTCGAGTGCTCAAAACCTACAAGGAAATCCTGAGTGTGGAATGGAATCAGCGGACCTACGAAAAAAACGAACCAGGGATCGTCAGCTGCGTTGAGATGCGTTAAAGCCAACCCCGGTCTTTCGATCCGAGATGTGGCCAGAAGGTACAACGCCAACTTTCAAACGGTGCGGAACATCCTTGCCAAGGAACGATAAATGTCGTACAGAGCCAGTAAACAGCGTGCAAGTCTCTTGTACGACCGTGTTTTGAAGAAACACAAGGGCTGCACTTTGATCGATGACTAAACATACGTCAAATTCGATTTTAAGCAGCTTCCCGGTCAAGAGTTTTACATTGAAACTGGACGTGGGGATGTGCCGGGAACATTCAAATGTCTTCTCTCGATAATTTTCTAGGAATGCAAGGCACGCCCACGCAAACCAACATAACCAAGGAAAGTCTTTCCCTACCCGATGGTGATATTGATTTGCGTGCGCGAGCCTTGACCTTCAAGAAACCATCGAGAGAAGTCATTATTTACAAAAGTCAGCTCTATCTAGATAAGTCTAGAACCATGAGAAAAGGAACCAAAATTTGTGCGTGACATAAAAATAGTAATTTGTTGATCCAGTTTTATGAAATTGCCGGAAAAATTCACGCCAAAACTGCTTGACAAAATGGTCCATTGGACAGTTAATATTCCCGTCTATTTGCAACTCGTCCTGTCAAACTTTACACACTTAATGAATCTTTCACCCATTTGCTACCAAATCAAGCTGAGATTTTATGTGATTTTTTACATGCAAAATCTTTAATCAGCATTTACCTTCAATTCTCAATACATTAAAAATTTGCTCCCTCACCGGTCGTAAATCGTTGATATGATAAAGTATGAATAGTATCGCACTGATAGGTAGCAACCGACAACAGCAACCCAAACAGAACCCAACTTATAATTGGCTTTTCTCCCAAAAAGGTACACCAGTTTCCAAAACAAGACAATGGGCCACTGAACTGTTTATCGCACTCAAATGGCACCCGCTATGGCCATAATCAAGTGCATCATTCAATTTACACACGCCCTGGTTGCACGCGTCTATCTAATCTAACGCCAATCACCGAATGCGAGAGCTCACTTCGATAGATCCAATTTTGCCAATCACTCTTTTGGTTAATCTGACTCGCGCAGCCGTCCTGTAAAGATCTTCGCGCAACGGACTGTGATTTGAAACTGGAAAAAATGTCCGAACAACCGGCGTACGTCATGGCAGGCCTCGACCAGGTCGCCACCGATCAAGGATTTACGCCGAACCGGTACCGAATTGAGTTCGAATCCGGATCGAACAAGGGAGATGGCTTCATGGGAACCCTGTTCAAGGCGTTCGTTCGCGAGGATGGCCGCGATGAGTTGGTGGTGTTGGTGAAGGTCCTACCGGAACACGAAGCCCGCAAACAGCAATCCCTGGCCATGTTCCACCGGGAGGCCATGGCATACAATATGGTGCTGCCGATGTTCAGGAAGTTCCAAGCGGAGAAAGGTGTAAGCGAAAAGGATGGCGAAGGATTCTGGCGCGTCCCAAAGTGCTATTACGCAAGCTGCAATATGGAGAAGATGGAAGCGGTGGTGATCATGGAGGATCTACGAGAGAAGAAGTTCCGAATGTGGAATAAGTTCGAACCGGTAGATTTCGATCATACTAGGTTGCTGATGGAGCAACTGGGGATGCTTCATGCCATTTCGTTCGCCATGAAGGATCAACAACCGGAACAGTTTGCACACTTCAAGCAGCTGGTAGATCCGATGAAGATCATGATCAATATGGATCCCAGGAAGAACATTGATAACTTGTTTGAAGAAATGTTCGATCGCGCCATGGGAACTATATCCAACGAGGAAGCGAAAGTGAAAGAGACGATGGATAAACTGAAAGGATTGGTGACAGAAGCTTACGTTGACTGTGTTGATGGTGCGGGAGCGGAACCGTACACGATCGTTGGTCATGGTGATTGTTGGGTGAACAATATGATGTACACGTACGATGGAAATGTATGTCAACTTCCAGATTAATCAATAGAGCTTTTCTAATTCGCAAAATTAACTTTTTAGGAACCAACTCCAACCGACATCCGGTTGATCGACTGGCAGCTGTGTCGGTACGTGTCGCCCATTCTCGACCTGTCCTACTTCATTTTCATTTGCACGGATGAGAAACTTCGCGCGGAGCACTACGGAGAATTGCTGGACGTATACTACAAATCACTGGGCGACTATCTGAAGCGATTGGGAGGTGACGTGGAACGTCAATTTCCCAGGGACGCTTTCGAGGAGCAGTGGAAAAAGTACGGCCGTTTTGGGCTGTTGATGGGACTGATTGTGCTGCCAATGATTTGCACAGCCGGCGATGAACTACCGAGCATGGAAGACTACGTCGAAAGGATCGAAAAAGACGAGAAGAACGTCAAGTACGAGTTCGGCACTTCGGAGAAATCGTTCGAGCTGTATCGTAAAAGAATGACCGGTATGATAAGGGATATTGTTAGATTTGAATATCTGTAGATAGAGGAAACTCGTTCTGCTGATCGATTATCCGAACGTCAAGTGACTCTTTTTCTTATTCTTCTTCTTCGTGGCGGCTACGTTTCAACCAAGTAGTTCATGCCGATTGTTTACACCGCTTGGAAAACCGACTTTCAATCCGAGGCGGAGTTTCATTCATAAACTATTAGACTCAGCTCGACGAGATCGGAAAATTTGTGAGTGTGAAACGAAATAAAGAAGAACGTGATTCTCAGCAACCACTGCACCAAATTGGACGCAATCACCACCAAATTGCCAAACGATGAATCGATCTGATGGATCTTCTCCGATTTTATGAAACTTTTCATAATTGCTTGTTATATGGTTATTGTAACATTTGAGCTAGAATCCCAACATTTTGAATCCCGCAAAAAAAAAAAAAATCAAAATGGCGTATTCGGTTTTTTTTTCAACAAAAATAATAACTCGAAAATGTCAGTTCCAATTGAAATGACGTTTGAGACAAAGTGGTAGGAAAGAATAATTGCTTTCCAGGAAAAATATACACGATAAAAAAATTCAAGTAATTTAGAGTAAAAAATTCAAAAAAGTATCTAATACAAAAAATTGCTCTTTTCAATACTTTTTGAATATTTTCATGAAAAAGCTTATGAAACCTCCCAGATAACCAGAAATCGTATAAAAATGTACAGAAAGTATCGTAAATAACTACAGTTTAAGTCAACATCGCATATAAGTATGACATACATCGCATTATGTTTAAGTTAAATCGTATAGAATGTAAATTTCCGACTTATATACGACGAATCTTTTTTTCATCGTACTGTATCACAAATTAAATCGGATTACATCGTAATGTTTTTCAAATTGAATTTGTTATTACAGATTGAATCGTATATAATGTCAAATCAACTCGTTTAAAAATAAATTGAAATTTTCACGTATATGGCCTCCACTTTTGTAGGTATAGGCCCTTTTTTTGCATTCTATACGATTTTTTTGTTTGTATATATGTTTGTATATCACAGAAACAACTTTGAATATACGTACATTCTGGTTGTCTGGGCTGCCACCTTCTGCAAGGGGTAATCAACTCTGCACACCTCAATCTGTACCGATTGTTTAAGCGGTACCGAAAGCTGTGCCAAACGCTGCGCCGAAGAGTGCCAATCCCATGAGTTTGGCAACCCTGAAGTTTTGATGTTTGTTTGTGATTGTACAAGAAAAAGAAACGTGGTGAATTGTCGCGTCACTTTTCAAATAGACCAATGTAACATATCCACCATTTTGAGAAGATTGAAGTTGAAGTTCGACAGATTATTATTTTAACTGTTTAGAAACAATACATTTTGCAATACTATTTTTAATTTAGTCAGTGAATAATAACGTTGAAAATTCAGTAGAAACGGTAAAATCACAATTTTGATTTGAATTTCTTGCTACAATATATAGCAAAAACCACATAGGACGTTTTTACTAGTCAAGTTGTACATCGGACATGTTACATTGGATGATTTTTCTCAATGACATAATCAGTTAGTGTTACATTGGACGATTTGTTCTATATGATACTAGATTCCCTTTCACAGATGTCATAGTAGAGTACCTAACTTTAGATGTGCCCCGCCTTTAGAAAATGAGCACCAATCATGTATGACCGAAGTAACAAACATGTACCCATCATTTCAAACTGTACATTGGACAATTTTTGACCTATGATTATCTTAAATAAATGAAAGTAAATTTGGATGGATGTTTTTGTATCACATACAATGACAGAAGAGCAATAGTTTGTATCGCTCAGTGATGGAAAAAAATCAAGAAAATCCAAAATCAGGAACGGTCGAAAATCACTGCTGATCTTAAGATCAGCAAAATCACAAACAGAAAATCACAAACGGAAAATCACGGTGGATTTTATCTTAGCTGATCTTGAGAGTAGCAAAATCACACAGCAGAAAATTAGGCTGATTTTAACCTTAGCTGATTTTGCGGTCACAAAACCAAACGGAAAATTAATAGATTGGAATTACAGTCAAAGTAAAAATCCGACATCCACCGCCATTTTGGAATTCCATATGGCGGACCAAAATTCAATATGACCGCCCCGGACAGGGAATATTCATCTAAACTTATGCAATATGGGTATCTACGGAATGGGCTCGGTGAGGGGAAGCGAAAAATTGACATCCGTCGCCATTTTGGAATCCAATATGGCGGAAGAAAATCCAATATGACAGAACAAAATCCAATATGGCGGAACAAAATCCAATATGGCAGCCCCCGGACTAGGAATATGCATTTAAACCCATGCAATGGCTCGATGAGTGGAAGTGAAAAATTGACATCCGCCGCCATTTTGGAATCCAATATGGCGGCCCCCGGACTAGGAATATGCATTTAAACCCATGCAAGATATCTACGGAATGAGCTCGATAAGGGGAAGTGGAAAATTGACATCCGCCGCCATTTTGGAATACAATATAGTAGACCAAAATCCAATATGGCAGCCCCCGGACTAGGAATATGCATTTAAACCCATGCAATATGGGTATCTGCGAAATGGGCTCGATGAGTGGAAGTAGAAAATTGACATCCGCCGCCATTTTGGAATTCAATATGGTGGACCAAAATCCAATATGGTGACACCGGACAAGAAATATGCATCTAAACCCCTGCAATATGGGTATCTACGGAATGGGCTAGATGAGTGGAAGTGGAAAATTGACATCCGCCGCCATTTTGGAATCCAGGATGTCAGACCAAAATCCAATATGGTTGCCCCCGGACTGGGAATATGCCAATTTGGAATTTAATATGGCAGACCAAAATCCAATAGGCGGGACATGGAATATACATCTAAACCCATGTAGTATGGGTATCTGCAGAATGGGCTCTCAACCATCTTGAATTCCAAAATGGCGGCGGATGTAAATTTTCCATTTTCACTTAGCGAGCCCATTCCGCAGATACCCATATTGCATAGGTTTAGATGCATATTCTCTGTCCAGGGGCCGCCATATTGGATTTTGGTCCGCAATATTGGATTTCAAAATTGCAGCGGATCTCAATCTTTCACTTCCCCTCATCGATCCCATTCCGGAGATATCCATATTGCATGGGTTTAGATGAATATTCCCCCGCCATATTGGATTTTGGTACGCCATCTTGGATTCTAAAATGGCGACGGATGCCAATTTTCCACTTCCCCTCATCGAGCCCATTCCGTAGATACCCATATTGCAGAGGTTTAGATGCATATTCCTTGTCCGGGGGCCGCCATATTGGATTTTGGTTAGCCATCTTGGATTTGTGGGAGCCCTCTAGGGTTGAAATCCACCATTTTAATTTCATCCGGAATGTTGACTTGAATTTCGGAATTGCCCAAACTCTAGAATTTCACATATCTTCTAATCCTATGATTTTCGATGATTTTGATCTTGGTTGATATTGATGCTGGTTGATTTTGAGAATCGAAAATCACGGCTGATATTGGTCGAAAATCACGTGTGATTTTCATGGTGATGATAACTTGTGATATTGGTGCGTGTGATTTTAGGTGATCTTGATCTTGGAAGATTGCTGATTTTGATTTTCTGATCTTGATTTTAGCCAATACTGATCACTTAACTCGATTTGTTTACATTTGTTACATTGGTCTATTTGAAAAGTAACGCGAGAATTGATGTATTCGACCTAAAATCACTGCTGCAGAACGGAAATTCCATTTTTATCAGCTAACTTGGCAAAGTAAACCAAATCTGTTCAAAAATTCGGGCCATTTAACCACCGACAAAACCCTGATTGTAGCCCTGGCAAAGTTGTAGTTGTAGTAGTAGTACTAGTAGTAGAGAAAAATAAAGTCTTTCTATGAAAATTACAGATGGAATTGATTTTTAGTAATTTTAAGTAATTATTCCTAAAAGAAATGTTAAACACTCAAATACATATCTCAAAAGGTATATCTTCATTTTTAATATATTATATATATATACAGTCTACAATTCTATAACTCGATGGGTCATTCAATGTCGACTTATGGAGAGTTGACTGTTTATATATTTCCCTTATTAGAAATATTTTATAGATGCCAACAAAAAATAAACAATTGAGCTAGGGGAATGATTGGCTTTGGCAATACCTTAACCTATTATCGCCAGGAAGGTAAAAAACGTCCTTGAGAGCTCAATTTTGGCATGTGGATACATGTGTTTTAGAGCATATATTGGCCAAATTTGAGTGCTCTAGGACTTTGTTTACCCCCTGACGATAATAGGTTAAGTTATTGCCAAAGCCGACATTTCCAATACCATAGGAAAAAAAAACATGATTTTCGAAAAAAGTCACCGATGGATGGACATGAATTATCGATTTGCCCTTATGATTTTTAGATGCCTGTGATGAAACACTTATTATTTTCCCTTGTATTTTTTGTTAACATTAAAATTTCCCTCTTTAATAAAAACTAAATGAACCACCTTGGTGAAGTATCACTTAACAAGTGCTAGTCTTGGTTTGACATTATTTACAAGAAGTTTGGAAAATGTGAATAATTGTAAAAACCAATTCATCAATGTTCCATACTTGAATCTTACTCACGAAAACATTCCAAGTCCCAGAAAGTAAATGTTGGCCGAAACCTTTTTTGTTTTCAATGTAACTCTAGATCTCGACGCTTTATACAATTTTAAGTAATTTAGAAACAACAAAAATTTTGACTTCCAAAAATTAATTCTCCTACCAGATTTATCAGACGGCAAAAAGTTCAGCCTTTGACCGTTTTGCAGCACCCCTAAAACCATGTCCGGTTGAGCCAAACAATTTCATAGGGTCATTTTTCGAGCCAATAAACATTATATATATCAGTGCTAACATTTGAAAACGGCACAAAAGCCATTTGTAAACAAATGGTTTGTGGGCCCTTTACTCACTACTTGAAGTACACCCACGCGACACAACAGCAACATCGGGTAGGGGAAATTTTCCCCTTCCTGACGTTGCTGTTGGTTTGCGTGGGCGTTCTTCGGGTAGCGAGTAAAGGGCCCACAAACCATTTGTTTACAAATGGCTTTTGCGCCGTTTTCAAATGGTAGCACTGATATATGATCCGTTTGTAAGATTCTATGGTCACTTTTTTCCCATACATTCATTGGCACCCTAACTACTCTCTATACAAACAGCAATAAATTCACTTCTTTGCGTCCTGTCCGCTTTGGCAAGCAAAATTTAGCCACCTTCTTTCTCTCTCACTGTTTACAAGTGATAACGATACACACACCACAAGCAAAGCGAGTTCGTCACACAATCATCTCACCATTCAGTCAGTCACTACCGCATACATCATCAAGTCAGTTTCGTACACTAAAAACCGGTCCGCACAGCAACAGGATATGACTCTCCCATCTGATTCAGTTCCCTCGTTCCTCCGCAGCAAGCTGGAGGAAATTGCCTGGGAACAGAACTTTGTCGGTGGAACCTATGCGATCCGGTTCGAGACCGGTTCCAAAGTTGGAGACGGATTCATCGGGCAAGTGGTAAGGGCAACGATCCGCGGCGATCGCCTCCTGGACGGTAAGCTGATGTCCGATCAAGTGCTATCGCTGATCTGCAAGATTCCACTGGCGGATCCGGTGCAGCGGGAGAAATTCAATTCGATGCTGTTGTTCGAGCGGGAAGTGCTGGTGTACAACGAGATGCTGCCGGAGTTTGAGCGAATCCAGTTGGCTAGGGGTTTGTGGCGTGGAGATGAGGTGGGATTTTGGAACTTCCCACGGTGCCACTGGGCTTCGTTCGATGGGGACCGAGGGGAATCGATGCTCATAATGGAAGACCTGAGCGAACGACAGCTGGAAGTTAAGGATATGTTTGTGCTAATCGATTATGACCACGTGAAACTGCTGACGGTTGCTCTGGGGAAGCTGAATGCCTGCTCGTTTGCTTTGAAGGAGCAAAAACCGGAAGTATTCGAGAAAGTCAAACGATTAAACGATCTGCTGAGTGTAGTCATGATGACGGAGCAGACGAAACCTTTGGCTCCGAGGAACTGCGAATTGGCAGCTTCGATCTTCAATAGCGAAGAGGAGCTCCGCTGGAAGGAGAAATTCCTATCATTAAAAAACTGCCTTTGGGAGAAAACACTCAAGCTGATGGAGAGCCAGAAGGCCGAACCCTTCGGAGCTTTCAACCATGGAGACTGCTGGACCAACAACGTCATGTTCGGATACGATAAAGCTTCCAAAAAAGTTCGAGAAGTTGTTCTCCTGGACTGGCAAATGGCTCGGTACAGCTCGCCTATATTGGACCTGATCTCGTTCGTATATCTCTACGGGGAAGTCAACCTCCGCAGAGAACGCTTCGATGACCTGATCAAAACCTTTTACGATGCATTTGCGAGGACATTCCGAGCTTTGGGCGGAAACCCAGAGAAATCGTTCCCTTTCGAAACTATTGGGCAGCATACGAAGCTATTCGGAGCCCAAGTTCTCGCAATGGCCACCTTCGCTTTCCCAATCCTAGCCCAACTGCCTCAGCAGTTCTTCGAAAGCGAAGGCAATCGCTTGAAAGACGAGTTCCAACCGCAATTCCAACGATACCAACAGCTTATGAAAGATATTGTCCACGACTCGGAACATTTTGACGATTTAGAATAAAAGAACGTTCAAAGCACTCACGATTCCTTGTGTTTTCCTGTCAGAAGATTTGCGAACGCTCATTTCTTCATCGTCAGCACTTCATCCTTAGCGGCGCCGGTGGTGTAGTGGCAAGCGTGATTACCTCTCACCCCAGCAGGCCTGGGTATACTACACTATGTTTGTTTTGATTCGCTATGAAAGTTTGACAGATAAAATGAGGGGTTCGTGGATTTTCCTACATTTCAAGAGGTGCATCGATTAGCTTGGGACCGAAGAGAGTACCAGAGCTGAGCCAAAAAATTTGATCACGTTTCTTCTGGACCATCTGGTCTTAGAGTTACCACTATGCTTGGGACCAATAGGCTAGTCAAGTGGCGAGCCAATTTAAAATCGTTAGTTTCCACCACTACGACTGATTTCAAAGTGAATCGAAGATAATGTAAATTCCCATTATTGATATCATTCCTTACATTCGTTTCAACGTTTTGAGGCGAGCTCTTCGCTTCTCTTCGCTCTCACTATGGCATCGGCCTTACAGCTGACCGATCGGTAGGCCACCCATCGCACTGAGGTCCCTTGATACGGAGCTAGTTCAACAGAAGATGATTGTTACCAAGATTGTTACAGAGATGCATCTGCAAATGAACGGATGTGGTGACGGGGATGAGCTTGATGTCGGACTCGTGAAATAGAAAGTAATTGCATTTTTAATTGCAATGGTATGGTATCCTATAAATCCTATACTATTGCACTATGGCAATCGTGATCCGATCCAGGTCTGATGGAATATGTGGGGTTAATATTTAGGCACAGACAAACAGATATAACTCCCACCATCACATTCTTCGCAAATAAGATTTAAGTTGGGAATGTGCTCGGATTTGTCATGGTGGCGCCACTGAATGGTTAAGCAAACCACTACATTTCGAGCTTATCAGTGATGCCTGTTCTTTTTCAGGTCAATTTACTAGATGTCAGCTCTTGAGAATGATAAGGGGACCAAGGCATCCCACTGGAGACATATACAGTAATGACCCGATTTTGTCAGTCCCCTTTTTGGAAATCTTTTCTAATGTTCTACGAAACTCATGCACTTTTTCAGTCGTCTTATTTCACCAACGTATACCTTAAACACCAATCTTGAAGATGCATGGGAATGATTTGGAACTACGATTTTATTAAATTATTTAATGATAAAAGTCTGATACGCGGAAAGGCCGGAAAAATCGGGTCATTATTGTACCACCTACTAATCTAACGAATACAGAAAAAAGTGGTTGAATATTACACTCAAACAATCGATTGGTCATTCCACTTGTTGTGCAATATTACCACCGGTGGAAACTGATGATTTTAAATTGGCTCACTATTTGACTAGCAAATCCCCAAAAAAGTCTGAACTTCTGTGCAATTTCTCCTACGGATCTGTATTTCTAAAAAATTCAATCAATTCTATTGATCTACGGAAAATTTCGTAGAACCGACATCACTGACTTCCCTAATAAACGTGTACCATATACTGACGATATCTTAGATGGTGCGACTATACCACATAAAATTGGGATGATATCCTGAATTGGTGGTTAGGCGCATCTTATGGTTATTGTTTATGGGGGTTCCATCTCTTTTGTTTTTATTCAACCCAGCTGACGCGTTGACAGAACGAGGTAAAAGCAACTAGTGAAAAAATTGCATGAACGAGGGATTCTCCGGTTGCAAACCAATGCTTGGGAATTTTCATGATAGAGGGTGCTAGTGTGCATGCAAAAACACGATATTTTTTGAAAAATTTTCTTCTAAGAGTTATGTGCGTTCCAACAAGGATACGTACTGCGAACGTGCATGAACTGCACCATAGGTAGACTCAACGGCTTCGTAGATAGCATGCTGAACCGTACCGTCATATTGGACGATCAGATCTTCCAGGCTTTTGACCAACCGTCGCAGGCGGTAACCCGTTTCAGCCGTCTTGACAAGATCCTCTCGACCGGACAGGGTTGGATGAACTTTATCGAAGTCAACTGTTCTGGATGAAATCACGAGCCGATGGGAATTTTGCTGTAAATCGGATGAGACTGACTTAGTTTAGCTAGATTTGAAGAGTCTACTTACAGATTGTTTTCGAGCGATCCTCGAAACCGGTTTGTCGTTCTTAAATTCAGTGTCAACATTTCAAAGGGGCGTAATTGCTTTTGTAAACAATGGCTTTGGCCGTCGATTTCTCGCGAATAAAAGCTCACACATGAAAATTAATAAAACCAACAAGTAGAAGAATGTTTCCTCCACCAGCTAGCATTGTTAATTTGGAAGGGTGAGCTTTAATTCGCGAGAAATCGACGGTTAAAGCCATTGTTTACAAAAGCAATTACGCCCCTTTGAAATGTTGACACTGAATTATTGATTGAATCGTTGTTTTACCAGTTTTATGTATGACAGCAAATTCTCTTACTAGCTTCACATATGAGTAAACAAAGTACAAGAAAGTATTCAACCAAGTAGTCAACCTTAGCAGTAACACTCAACAGTGATGCCGTTTTATAGTATATTGTTAGTTTCGTACTTGTCAAAGTGTGCCCTATCGTGCCAAATAATGTGTTTTGCTGTGTTTTGTCACAGTTGATTACCCCTTGCATATATGATGGAATAAGCAGAAAAATAAGCATAGACAAGCAGACAAAACACTCGCAAGTTGTTAATCGAACAAGCATTTAACAGTCAATTTAAAAGTATCTTCCCTTGCGTTTGAAGTTTACACACTGCCGCCATCTGTTCAGCGTTCTGCTCACCACAGTGCACTCAAAATATGGCGGTAATGTTTTAGCAACGACGTTTTACAGTGAGACATATTCAATGTGTTATGTCTGTGTGTCTGTGAAATAAGCGTTATTCATATATAAAAAAAAATCTTGATTTTCATAGAGTTAATTCCATAAGTTACTTCTACTTACTAAACACGAAAAATGCAAATGAATGCAGCTTGTAACCTCGCTTGCAACATAAAGAAAAAAACCGGGCATTACTGAAAATATGTACACGGTAAAAAATATCATGCTCATGTAAAGTGATTTGCTGTTGAATTTGCACTACTTGCCAAACATTGCAATTCGATGTGCAAATCCCTTGGAAGAGATCATATCGAAGCACGATGAAACCAACAGCAAATCACTTCATTTTAAATTGTATTGCACATTGTTGTTGATGTACTGTGCGTTGAGCTCGAACTGTCAACCATACTGATATTAACAATCTATCACTTTAAGTTTAAATAATTTATCCTTGGATTTAATTTTGGCTGAAAATGGGTTTAAATAAATATATAGCCTTGTTCATACTGCAAGCCTTGTTATATGTTATTCAGAATAAGACCATATCATATTACTATATATTGAACAAAATCGCAAGGCTTTTAGTAGAAGTAAGACGAGACATTGAGCAATAGATTTGATAAGTTTGACAATGTTTTGTAATCGAACTTATCTGAATAATACACTATTATTGAATACAGCAACAATTCCGTATTACTCACGCTCTAGAACGCAAATTATTTCGAGTGTAGATGGAGAATTTCCGCTTCTCTCGCTTGACTTCATTTGTTGTTGACTTGCTATCTTTGCGAGTAATGTTTGTAATGTGCGTTTTTGACATTTGCTTTTGGAAAGCAAAACTAATCAAATTCAAATGAAAAACAATTCAAATTTTGAGCGCTTTGCGGCACCCCTAAATCCTGCCCGATTGAACTCAAATTTTGATAAGGCTCTTTTTTCGAGCCAATAAACATTGTGTATGTCATCCGTTCGTAAAATTCGATGGTCACTTTTTTCGCATACATTCATTGGCACCCTACTACTCTGTATACAGTCAGCAATTCACTTCTTTACGACCTTTCCGCATTGGCAAGCAAAATTTACCCACCTTCTTTCTCTCTCACTGTTTACAAGTGATAACGACCCACATGTTGCGCAGTCAGCTCGACTAACACCCACACACACCACAAGCAAAGCGAGTTCATCACGATCACCTCACCACTCAGTCAGTCACTACCTTACTCATCATCGAGTCAGTCTCGTACGCTATAAGCAGCAACATACATGGCTCTCCCATCTGATTCAGTTCCCTCGTTCCTCCGCAGCAAGCTGGAGGAAATTGCCTGGGAACAGAACTTTGTCGGTGGAACCTATGCGATTCGGTTCGAGCCCGGTTCCAAAGTTGGAGATGGATTTATCGGGCAGGTGATAAGGGCAACGATTCGTGGCGATCGCCTCCTGGACGGTAAACTGATGTCCGATCAAGTGCTATCGCTGATCTGCAAGATTCCTCTGGTGGATCCGGTGCAGCGGGAGAAATTCAATTCGATGCTGTTGTTCGAGCGGGAAGTGCTGGTGTACAACGAGGTGCTGCCGGAGTTTGAGCGAATCCAGTTGGCTAGAGGCTTGTGGAGAGGAGATGAGGTGGGTTTTTGGAACTTCCCACGGTGCTACTGGGCTTCGTTCGATGCGGACCGAGGGGAATCGATGCTCATAATGGAGGACCTGGGCGAACGACAGTTGGAACTTAAGGATAAGTTTGTGTTAGTGGATTATGACCACGTGAAGCTGCTTACAGTTGTTCTAGGAAAGCTGAATGCTTGCTCGTTTGCTTTGAAGGAACAAAAACCGGAAGTATTCCAGAAAGTTAAACGGTTAAACGATCTGTTGAGTGTAGTCATGATGACGGAGCAGACGAAACCTTTGGCTCCGAGGAACTGCGAACTGGCAGCTTCGATCTTCAATAGCGAAGACGAGCTCCGCTGGAAGCAGAAATTCCTTTCACTAAAAAACTGCCTTTGGGAGAAAACACTCAAACTGATGGAGAGCCAGAAGGCCGAACCCTACGGAGCTTTCAACCATGGAGACTGCTGGACCAACAACGTCATGTTCGGATACGACATAGCTTCCAAACAAGTTCGGGAAGTTGTCCTCCTGGACTGGCAAATGGCTCGGTACAGCTCTCCTATATTGGACCTGATCTCGTTCGTATATCTCTGCGGGGAAGTCAACCTCCGCAGAGAACACTTTGATGACTTGATCAGAACCTTTTACGATGCATTTGCGACGACATTCCGCGCTTTGGGAGGAAATCCAGAGAAATCGTTCCCCTTCGAAACCATTGGGCAGCATATGAAGCTCTTCGGAGCCCAAGTTCTCACAATGGCCACCTTCGCTTTCCCAATCCTAGCCCAACTGCCTCAGCAGTTCTTCGAAAGCGAAGGCAATCGCTTGAAAGACGAGTTCCAACCGCAATTCCAACGATACCAACAACTTATGAAAGATATTGTCCACGACTCGGAACATTTTGACGATTTAGAATAAAAGAACGTTCAAAGTACTTACCGTGCCGTACGATTCCTTGTGTTTTCCTGTCAGAACTTTTATGAACGCTCCTTTCTTCATCGTTAGCACTTCATCCTTGGCTGGGGGAATCAACTGTCGGTTCTTGTCCTTCGACACACGCTCTGCACCCAGTCCCATCCCTTTAGGTCGCTGAACCGGACCTTCCGGGAGTTTATCATCCTTCTTGGGAGCATTGGGATCCTCCTTCCAACCCATCCCCCGCAGCATTGCCAGACCGAACTTTTCGATCGGCACGGACTCGTAATCGTCTATCGTGGACTCACGCCCCCCATCCAAGGGCAAATCTTCCGGCTTCAACGGAACAACCATACTGTTTTTATCGTTGCCTCGGGACTTATGTTCCTTCAAATCCTCCAGGATTTCACGAGCTGCTCTTTGTTCGAGGGTTTCTCCGTCGACCGGACCTTCGGACGCTTCCTCGTCCTTCTTAGAATTGTTTTCCTCTGTATCTCTACCTTCTATTATGTCCTGCAATTTTGCTAAGCGGTCCGGGATGGTAGTTTTATCCTGTTCCCTCAGAGGGATCACCAATGGGGAAGGTTCGTCGTCTCCGTTTTCCTTCCTGCAAATAAAAGAAAGTCCTCGTCAATCAAAACCATTGACCAATCACAGTAAATCGCCCCATACCCAACAATCTTAATCGACTGTCCCTCGAGGCAGGAAATCAACTCAATCTTCTCCCCATCGTTCCGCTGCTTTGCGTTACCACCAATCACCGACGGACCGGCTGGCAGCAAGTTCACCTTTTTGTTGATCTTGCTGAAGCCAAAACTAATCTTTTTCGCTTCCATCGCGTCCCTACAAAAACACACTGAGCACAACCGGCACGGCACAGAAACGGCTATAGCTACAATCAAGCGAACAGTATAGATTCTATTGAACTACTATGGTAGCTTTCTACGCGAAACAACCGAGAATATTGAACTTGCAAGTTAACTGACCGGCGATAAACATCCCGAACCCGACACAAACGAAAAACGATTAAAGAAGCCACGGCAGAACTCGCGAGACGTAAACAAAAGCGCACTTAAAAGTGCATTTTGAATGCATTTTCGGCGGGCTCAAAAACGGGCTTCCTGCGTGTACGACGAACCCAATGAGGTACACACAGAAAAACAAAACTACCCACCGCTTGGGTTTTTTGAACTCAAATTTGAGTTATTTGACCTCTGCCCGTTTCATTTCCTCTCGCTATTGTTGTCAAAAATAGAACGAAAGATTCGACTCAACCGTCTAGTTCCGTACGAGAAGCCAAAATTGAGTAATATGCGATATACCCAAATTTGAGTTAATTGTACTTAATTTTGGGTAGAAAAAATTGAAAATAACTTAGCGATGGGTAATTTTTTTTGCCGTGCTTAAATGCAAACTACTTTGAGCCGGTTAACCCAAATTTGGCTTATCGTACGGAACATGGGAGATGAGTGAAAAGAACTTAATTTTGGGTTGTTTTGAATTTCTGTGCAGAGAGTAATCCAGCTCATTGCGACGAACCATCAAAATCTCGCAGTGTTATCAGCAGTGAACGCATTCATGCACGGTAAAATTTATTTTCACCAGCCACTCAAAAAAAACCAACAGACGAGTGCACGGATGGATTTGCGTTCACTAACTCGTGAAAACGTGATATATCAGGAAGCTGAGGCTGAGGGCATGTTTTTCAATCATGAGAAAGAGAACTATATTAACTTTTTTACTTACGTTTTAAGAACTTTAATGGTAATGGTTATGGTAGTCAGTAAGGTCCATGGATGGTTTGATATTATCGGTCAACTTTACGTGGAATATATCGCGAATTGATAATCATTAATTTACAGGCAACCAATTCGCTATATATTCCTCACTTACCACTACTTAGGAAGAATTTACAGTCAATGGCCCAACTACACACAAAAAATAATCGTTACTAAAATTAAAAAAAAAAATCATTGGTAAAATGAAAAGTTTTCGTTAGTTCTTTTTGGTAGAAAGTCTGAAGCATTCAAAATAAAAATGTGTAACTTGTCATATCAAAAGTTTACCTCTTCGTTAATTTTAAAAGTTGATGTTTTTTAATCAAATTGTAGAACTGTCAAAAGGAAAACCAATGCTTATAAAATGAAGTGCAAACTGTTCGAAAAGAGTTGTTTTTATTATGAAAATATATTTTTAATTTGAAATATTATCATATTCATGATTTTCAAGATTAAGAAAATTAGCCATACTCATGTTTGTATCATATTTAAAACATAAATGTATTCATTTATTTCATAAAAAAAAAAACAAAGAAAATAAAACATAGTTTATGTTACCAGCGCATATTGTGTCCCAGCTCTATTAGTTATCAAAGGAAGGCTAATCCTACTGTTCATCGCCCTGAGTCTTCTAAGTGGCATGGGTTGAGTCAGATTCTTGTCCGTCTTGTAATGGTCGAAGTATTGAGTTGAACCTAAGCTCCACAGTCATTTCGTACTACTCAATGGAAACGGCATTCTTGAAGACATCTTTCAGCTGGAGGTTCACCAACACCAAAACCAGCACACTAATGGGTAATTCCCTGTACATCATTGTCTTGTACGTTCATATGTTCTACGCCCACGTACGTTTGGTGGTCAGATTACGGAATGATGGGTTGGGTGCCATGTTACGGGGTTTGTTATAAGGATAGTCTTTTTCGGTCGAGACGCTTCACTCTGTTACGGCATTTGTTGGTCGGAACCATCCGATGTAAGCGCTTGTTTGTCAAGTATAAGCGTAGCTACAATGTAAACATAAATTTAATCGATCCTAAGAAAAAGAATTTTCCAACTCACCTACATGCCCTATTGCAGTGGTTGAATCACAATCGATCACCGGAGGCAGCTTCCGAACACCAATTTAACCCATTGAAATTCCGTTGAACGATTTTTTTTCTCGTCTCGTCAACTCTACTTTGGCGGCAAATAATGTAGGGTTGAGTGCTGCCAAAAACGTTACTATGAAGAAGTATTTTTGACAGTTGAACAACTTTTATTTAAAAAAATGCACTTTTAAAATTACAAGTAAGAAGTGAAAGAAAAACTTTCAAACCAAAGATATAGCTTTCATTTTGAAAATTTTCACTGTTAAAACTACAAAATTTGTGAAACTTTTATTTTAAATTTGCATTATTTTTATAGCAACATTTTTTGTTTTTTTGTGTGTAGCAAACACCCAACTAACGAACACCCCAACGAGCGAATCTCCGCTACATAGTTCTCTTTCCGAAAACGTATGAAGTAGACAAACTATTTTGAATGGTAATGGTTCTTATCAATCCATTATTTGTAAGGCCCACTTCCGAAAAACCATAATACAAAAGAATCCTGATGAATGTGGGCGAGAGAGAGAGAGAAGGATTAGTAATTTTCATTTAATTCCACTACTTTATTTGCTTATCCTTGACAGATACGCGTATTTCGTCTACAATGTGCAGACTTCTTCAGTGTCTTGTACTTTTTATGTTTGCTGGGGGGGTTTTTCCTTAGGTTGACCGTCAGATAAAATACAACTGGTTTCTACGATGTCCAAAACTATAATCTGACCCAGTCTCAGTTTTATTTCTTATTCTCGACTCTCGAGTATCGATCATCGTATCTTTTTCCTACACAGAAATTCAAAACAACCCAAAATTAAGTTCTTTTCACTCATCTCCCATGTTCCATACGATAAGCCAAATTTGGGTAAACCGGCTCAAAGTAGTTTGCATTTAAGGACGGCAAAAAAAATTACCCATCGCTAAGTTATTTTCAATTTTTTCTACCCAAAATTAAGTTCAATTAACTCAAATTTGGGTATATCGCATATTACTCAATTTTGGCTTCTCGTACGGAACTAGACGGTTGAGTCGAATCTTTCGTTCTATTTTTGACAACAATAGCGAGAGGAAATGAAACGGGCAGAGGTCAAATAACTCAAATTTGAGTTTAAAAAACCCAAACGGTGGGTAGTTTTGTTTTTCTGTGACTATGTTGTCGCTCTGTTTCTTGACAGCGATCGGGGCACGTTCGTTAGTGCGTTACACTCTAAAAGCATTCTAATCAATAAAGAGTTGTACATAACAACTCCTCCATCCTTAATACCCTGGACAGACTATGGCTTATATCACGTAATATAGGCTGTCTTGCAATGAGCACTCATACATAGGATTTCCAGTGAAAACTAGATGTATGAGTGCTCATTGCAAGACAGCCTATATTACATGATATAAGCCATAGTCTGTCCGGGGTATAAGCAAGTAATATAACTTATTAAACATCGATTGATTTATATAATCCAAAAATTCCTAACTTTAAGTACAAATTTCGACAGTTTTTTGCAAACTTATTTTCAATAATTTCAGTGACTAAAAATACATTCGATAAGAAAAACTGGCTTCCATTTTCTTCACGTATACACAAAATCGCTATCCTTTTTCTGAACCCGCATGCGTTTCGAACTCCTTAGTTGGGGATTCGACACCATCGCCGACTCTTGATGTTTCCTTTTCACACTTCTTGGTTGATTCGATAGCGGATTCGAGTGGTCCGCTGGGGGGTATGATTGGCTTGCTTGATCTGACGAATTCGCTTGACTCGCTTGGGGTATAATCCCCTCCTCTTCGATCTCCCTGACGTCATGTGGTCTCTCAACATTTCTGCTCGTGTTTGGGATGGGATGTCGTAGCAGGATGCTGGGTCTTGACAACTCGTCAACCTTCTTACATGCTTTCAACTGGCTGCGATGGGCCAGGATTACAGCGTTTCCAATTTGAACCTGGAAGGTGTTTAGAGAATACTTTTTAATAAACAATACTTTGATCCAGCGAAGATGGTTATGTGGGTTATTATTTTTATACCACAGGCTATCTCCTTCAGTCAGAGTATCCAGCGGATCAAAAGATCGTTTTGGGACGCTTCCCACGCTATTTGGCTCTGTATGCTCCTCATTAGATTGGGTTACCAACTGTTTTTTATAATGTTTAGTAGGATTCATCAGATCAATCAGTGTTTTTGGCCTATATGTAAAAATCTTTTCCGTTGGAAATTTTTCATCTCCAGTCACACAAGTATTTCTATAATTTATCAGAAATAGGTTAATCTGGTCCTCCAAATTCATATATGCCACTTCTGGGTCAATCAAAAACTTCTTCAGAACATCTTTTACCGTCCGCACAAGCCTCTCTGCTTGGCCATTACTGGAGGGGTTATAAGGCGGACTTTTAAAAACTTTTATTCCCTGTTTTTCTAAGAAACTTGCAAAGGTATATGAATTAAAAGGAGGACCTCCGTCTGAAACTACCACATCTGGTAGTCCGAATCGAGCAAAAAATGCAACCAACTGTTTTAAAACCTGACCAGCATCCGTTCCTTTTTTCATCCAGATCACTTCTATCCATTTTGAGTAACTGTCAACAATTAATAGAAAGGTATGATGAGAAAAATGGAAAAAGTCCATGTGGATTCTACTGAACGGTCTTGTGGTAGGAATCCATTTTGACTCAATGTTTGGTTTCTTTACTACCGCCATGCTACTGCAAACATCACATCCAGCAACAAATTTCTCTATGGCAGAGTTTATCCCAAACCAATAAACTGATCGCCTTGCCAACTGTTTCATTTTGACCATTCCCGAGTGATTAGCATGCATCAACTTCAAAATGTGCCCTTGTAACTGATGTGGTACTACCACCCTGTCCTGGTACAAAAGGCATCCGTCAACCATGTCCAAATCGTGTTGATTTGAAAACACATCAACAAAGCTTCTTTCCACCTTGACAGGCCAGCCATTCTTTAAATATCCTATGATTTCTTGAAGAAACTTGTCACTCTTAGTAGTTTCGGCAATCACCGCACAGTCAATAGGCAACTCTTTCCCAAAATTAATACTGCGAACTAAATCATGATCATATTCATTTGGGATTACCTCATTCAACGGAAATCTAGAACAAAAATCCGCGTTGCCCATTTTGGAAGACGGTCTGTATTGAATATCAAAATCATATAT